GGAGTACACAAAATCTTGTCTTGTATACTAGACCACAGGGAAGGGAGTAAACAAAATCTTGTCCTGTATACTAGACCCCAGGGAAGGGAGTACACAAAATCTTGTCCTGTATAATATACCACAGGGAAGGGAGTACACAAAATCTTGTCCTGTATACTAGACCCCAGGGAAGGGAGTACACAAAATCTTGTCCTGTATACTAGACCACAGGGAAGGGAGTACACAAAATCTTGTCTTGTGTACTATACCCCAGGGAAGGGAGTACACAAAATCTTGTCCAGTATACTAGACCACAGGGAAGGGAGTACACAAAATCTTGTCCTGTATACTAGACCCCAGGGAAGGGTGTACCCAAAATCTTGTCTTGTGTACTAGACCACATGGAAGAGTGTATACAAAACCTTGTCTTCTATAAATTACCACAGGGAAGGAAGTTTTTACTAATTATTACAAATATCATGGAATCTACAAAACAAATCCATTGTAAAATGGTATTTCTGAAATGATTTATTATTCTTTTTTTTTCAAATTTCATTTCAACACCAGCGGCTTCATAACAGCAATCAGTCTTGTCCTAAGTTTATATGATAAAAATTCCTGAAATTCATCATTACATGTAACATATATATTAAGGTGGGAAGTCAATCTAATGATTTTTTTAAGAGAAACATTATGAAAAATCTCTAAAATACCAATAAGTATGCAAAAATACATTCTCAAAGCTTATTTATAACAATACAAGTTATTTATCTTTGTTTCCTATGAAAGTTATATGAAAACTTGTGCCAAACAACTACTAACTAGTTTATGCATGTGTGTTGTAACTCTATAGGATTTCCTTGGTTGTGAATGTTAATCTTCAACAAAAGATGGTATTAAAAATAATATGATTAACTCCTGTCTGACACTGCATACCAGAAACTATTCTGCCAAAATATCAGCTCAGCTCTTAAAAATCCTTCAATTAGTGTTAATTCTTTACTCAACTGATGACAAATTCAATTTCTATCGGTCCTATTTAGTGATTTTTCAAAGCTTGTTGGGGATTTAAATGTTTTTCTCACCTTCATAAAGGTAAGGACTTGAAATGCATCCTTATTATATAACTATATAAGTCATAAAATGTATGTGTTTTTATTTCCTGTCAGATGTGATATTATTGAGATATATGAGCAGACGCAATCAATTATTTTCCTAAACTTTGGCTTATATATATGGAATATGAATTCCCATCATAGATATAGTTGATAACATTGCTCTTTGTACACCACTAAAATTTCTGGAATTGTTAAGCAACCATGTTGTCACTCCACCAAAAAAAATGTTTTCATCAAGCTCAGAGCACCAATATTTGGATATTACTCAAACTCTGTTGTTTACAAGTACCATACCTGATGGGCATCAAACACACAACATGTTACAAGCTTGCTGATTGGTTCACCCGTAAATTAGTACACACAAAGACGAGCCCTTAAGCTCCTTGCTACATTCTATAAACAGCAGGATACAGAATTATTGAATTTCATAATTTGATAAAAGCTCACAGAGAGAACAATGGAGTTCTGTTGATTACAATTTTGTTTTTCAACTTTGACCACACAGGTCTGATATTCAATAAATAATCAATTTTACTTGTATATAACACAATTTCTCACAGCTATATCAAACCACATGTCTATATGGTCATGTGTTAACACAAAATCAATCAAAGTGACCACTCTTGAATGTCCTTGGATTTGAGAGCTATTCAACAGATCTCTGAATCAAATGACAGCATCACATTCAATTTCATACAGATATTTTGTATACAAGAATTTTGGACAAGAACAGCTTACTCTGCAGGTAGGTCCATGCTTCACAACCTTGTATTTGTAGTTACCTGTACTCTTTGAGGTCAGGTAAGATAAGAGTGCATTATTTCCGTGTAACAGCATACTTACTATTAATTAACAGGTAATTGTAAAATACTGACAACACACTGAGACTTGGGAATGTGGCTACACATGCAAGTACAGACACCATACATATTTATCAATCCAAGTTAAAATCCAACATAACAGCTGCATGAAATAGAATTCAAGATGGCTGACATATGATTTAAAAATGATTATGAAATACAACGAATTAGAAGTTTACTGAATTTCTGAAATCATATTTGTTTCTTAATGCATCAATATTATCAATGATTGTCTCCTACCTAAATAGGTGATAAGCTTGTTGAGTCTGTTAATTAATGTTCACTAATTTTGCAAATTATGGAAGAAAATTTACCTACTGGATTATTACATAATTCATTTTATTTCTGCCCAATAATTCCTTATATGCAAGAAACAGTTTATCTTTTAACCATCATATACACAATTTCATAATAAATGTGATTGAAAGCCTTGTAAAACTGATCAAAAATCAAATTGGAGTTAAAATTGCAAAATAAAGTTTAATGTTTCTTATAAAATAAAACAGATATACCACTGAATCATTGCTTTAATCTGAAAGTGAGTCAATATTAAATGAATATGAGGCAATTTATTTATCTCTGATTTGAATTAATCGTTTTATACAAGTTTCATCAATGTTTAAATAAACATGACTGCCACAACACAGAAATGTTAAAGATCCTCAATAATCTTGGAGATCAGGGTTGAGTAAATATCATAGAGCGAAGATGTCTACAGATTAAACTTGTATACAATTGTTTGACAAAACACAACAACAATCTAGACAATTTGAAACATCGTACCCTATCTGCAATTTTGTAATAAAACCTTACCAATTGTAACTGCTGATAAATACGGTAAATGTTCCATCAATCATGAATAAAAATACTGCAATTTAAAATCACATCTTTGGATTTAAAGCTCAGTTAATTATGTGAAAACTTAAAAATAATTTCACAATAGCTACAATCAAAGTCTGATATTCAATATCAATTTTGTGTTTACGAAATCGTGATACAAATCTCCCCTATGGCTTAGAATCCAGGGTGGCCATGAACATCTAATGAATTACACAGCGAAACAGAAAAACCATATCAATTGTTGGCATTTTTTCCCCCATGTGTACCACCTTGCGATAAATATTTTTTTCTCTAAAAATGTTTATCATTTATTTTCCTGTGTCTGATTTCAAATATAGCCTGGCAGGAGATTACATTACAGATAAATATTCTATGGGACTGTTAAATTAATCTCAATTGCACCTCCCCGGGGTCAATTTCCTTGTTGGTCGTATTTGACCCTACCACCACGTAAACCTACCCTTATGTCATTCAATGATAAAACAAGTAAAGGACCCATACTGTAGCAAAGCTCTTTAAACAGCTAAGCTAACAGTAATTTCCGCTGTCCTCCGAATACCCTTGAAGGAATGTTTCAGAAATTTTTTTTCCATCTATTGCCACAGGTATCCTTTTGAATGACAAACAGATAAAAGTCCATTGCTTTTGATGCAATACATTACTTTGTGTGACTGAATCAATCACTGGCCAATGTTTCGAGGTTGATGGAGCTATAGGCTATACACAATGATGCCGGGAAATTCTCTTGTGTTCAGCTTTAGTATCAAAACAACAACAATATACTAACGTAAGTATGTGTATATACAAATATGGATCTGTTATTAGATATTATTGATACAGGGAAATAAAAAAATCTTTCAATTTCAATAATCAACTGATTTTAATGGTTTTCACAGCCATCTAAAAGTAATTTACCATTAAATGTAAAGGATTTTACAAGCCATAGATATTACTATTTAAGATTATAGCATTTATCTAAAATCTTCTGATTGTTTTTAGAAGTGTCTACATAAGTTTACTGCGTCATTGATGTTAAAAAAACTTCCCCACAGAAAGTTTCTTTTTTCGACGAAATAAACTGCTTCTTATCTACAAAATAATTTGATTTTTTTTTTAGCAAAATTTTGAATCAATCTTCTCAAGGTTAATTTTTGACCTGGTTTACCATTATCAATATATTTTTCATCAAAAGAACTTTGTATGTGAATCCTCTTGGGTTTCTTATAAATATTCCCACCTGATCAGCAGAAGTTTAAATATGAACATGTTAAGAAAGTAAACATATAGAATGTAGCTTTTAATTTGCTCAGAAATTTTGAAGTTTACTTTAAATCATCATAAAATGAGATTTAATTCATCTCAATCAAACAGTACTTGAACCTTTCTTCCGATTGGCTTTAACCAGGATTAAGTGGTTCCCAATGTTGACCGACAAAAATTCTATCCTTGTATGACAGTACAAAGGCCGTAAAATAAGATGCTTGAGATACATGAATATAGTGACAAACAGCCAACAACCAGTTCACACCTGATTTGCAACTTTCATGTTTTTTTCTTACCAAAGGAAGATTTGTGAGATGAAGTATATCAGAATTTCCACAAAGCAATTCTGCATTAGTATTATAGAATCCTATCAGGCCAGAAAGTTTGTCCTTCAGCTAAATCTGTCTTTTTCAACACAGTTTTTATTGTAGGTTTATATTAACCACAAGAATAGCTTTCATCCCCAGTCCATCAAGTGTAAAAAAGATTATGCACAGATGATTTTAAACTTGAACTCAATTTTACATAGGCATTTGTTGCAATGAAAATACTACATTCCTCTATCGCCCATGAATGTGAAAGATCCTTAAAGCGAAATGAAATTACTGGTATGTATATTTTTTCAAATGTCTTTTGAAAATTCTTTCCCTTCAATAACTTGCTTTCTTTTTCTTCTAGATCAGGTTGTGAGAACATCAGGGTTATCGTTTTCGCAAAGAACTTTCGGAATTGGAAGAAATGGAAATTTTACTGAATTATTCAACATATGAGCATTATAACAGTAAGAATAAGCATTCAGCTGGTTTTTAAACATCGAAAAGTTTTATTCAGTTTGAGGAATTCACTGAAACCAGCAAGCAAGCGATAATTCACCAGTCAGGAAAAACTGACCGACACATTATTTTTTCAATAATTTTTGGTACTACATTCAACAGCAAATATGAAAAAACTTCCAAGAGGCCAGACAACCACACTTCCTGAAATCATGTTTACTTCATCAAGTCTTCCGACTCGTGTCTACATTCACACCGGCACCTCCATGGTATCAGCTGCCAGCTCAAAGGGTGGAAAGGTTTCTCCCATGTTGGAAGTAGTGCATGCAGCCAAACCTAAGACTAAGAACGACACTCCCAAGGTCAAAGAGAGTGACGTCAAAACAGATGAAAAAACGGAACAAAAAGACAACAAATTAACCAATAAGGGTTTACAGAAAAGCAAATCTCACTCACATGAGAGTGGTGTGAAAGTTGGCAACAAGGAAGATGTTTCGGACAACACAGAAGTCAGGAAAGAAAACCCACGAGAAATTGACCTTAGTCCTGACCTTAAGGACGTCTTAAAACTTCCACAGCTACAACATAGCCCCAGGTCTACGAGTCTGGCAAGTACGCCGAATCTGTCACCTCGGAAATCAACACCAAGCGTCTCACCCAGACTCTCCGGGGATAAAAGCATTAATGCTGGTCATGCTCTATACGAACAAGTGTTACAAAAGGCGCGGAAATCCAGGAGTCCAGATAAGAATCACACATTTCCAGATGTTAAGATAAAATATCTGGACAAACGAGAAAATACGAAAGATCTGATGAAAAATCAAGAGATGATTCCCATACCGTTCTCCCACACAGACAGAAAGTAAGTAAAGAGTTTTGAAATGACCCCTATATTCTTTTCAAAAAGAGGCTGAGGGTTTTGAAATGACCTGTGTACCCTTTTCAAGTAAAGACACTTACCACTTGAGATGACCCCTATACTCTTCTCCCATACAGACAGGAAGTAAGTGTTCATACTGAGTTTTCAGATCACACACAGGAAGTATATGGTTTTGATATGACCCCTACACCTTTCTCCCATACAGACAGGAAGTAAGTGTTCATACTGAGTTTTCAGATCACACACAGGAAGTATATGGTTTTGATATGACCCCTACACCCTTCTCCCAACCAGACAGGAAGTACGTGTTCAGATCACACACAGGAAGTACATGTATATGGTTTTGATACGACCCCTACACCGTTCTCCCAAACAGACAGGAAGTACATGTTCAGATCACACACAGGAAGCAAATGACTTTGAGAATTCATTGATTTTTCATTGCTTTTATTCTTTTGCTTTTCCCTATGAAAACAGGAGATAACATTTACAAAGTGAACATTAAAAAGATTGTACCTTTTCAGTAAAATTTGTTTTTAAAATCAATAATTTAATAAAAACTACAGTGTAAAGTAATCTCTCTGAACGAATGCTGATTTTTTCTCACATGGTATTGATTCAAGTTTGATAATGATATAAGAAAGGTGTTTCAGTGTTCATTTATCACCCTTTTTTAAACTGAAAATTTAGAAATCCTTGTGATTGAAAAAGAATGATCAAACAAAACGATCAGACAACAAGGGCATCAAAGACTACAGCAGGTTGATAGAAGCATTTCACATTCTTCCATAGTTACAGTGTGAAAAATTAGCTACCTGAGAACATTAGTAAACTCCATGTAAACCACTTACAGAAGAACTAGTTACTGATAAAAGGTGTTGAGCTTTCAATACTTCTACATATCTACAATAAACAAATTGAGTTTTTAATACTTCTACATATCTACAGTGAATGGATTCTTAAATTTCGTGACTTATTACTAAAAAATTACAAAGTTAAATCATTTGAAGGAAAAGCAGAGACAACAAAATAATCATAATGAACAATTATTAATATGAATAATTTCCCTGATTATAAACCACTACTTTTTTTCTTATGCGTCTGTGATGCAGCTTCTAGTCCAGCATGACGTATAACTAGGAAAATACTGTATACAATTTACACATAATATATATGTAAAAGGTTGATTATCAAATACTGCAAGACATTTAAACTGACGTAATATATCATTCTAAAACCAATTGAAGATTTGATATGTGTTTAATTATTGGTTTGTAAATCAGACAGTGTATTGGTACAGCTGTGTCATGTATCTTATATAACATTGAGTGCAGTTAAGAACTGGTCATGTGGACTAAAACTTGGCAGATATCTGGCCCTATTATATACACAAAGGCATGTGTATTGGTCTTTGTAGAGCTTCCCGTTGTAAAACAGTCAGGTAGATAAACAGTCAATACATTTCCCGATCAAAGATAATATATATATATTGGGTTAACATCATACAGTCCACCGTAATATCAACAATCGGGCCTTTCCTCAAACGATCTCAGTATTCTGCCGATGGCAAGGCTGTGAGAACTACACTGGGTAAATATGTATGTGTATCAATCTACTTCTGATAAAAAAATAATTCTGTATCTTTTTTGTAATATGTTATTAAGGCTTAATAACTGTAGAATGTATCAATCTAGGTGTACATTCGATATGTAGCTGATCCGTTACAGAACAATTACCAAGGGTTAAGTATTCTATGCCTTTAAAGAAGGTCTTTAACAAAACTGCTGGAGATTTATTTCATCTCTATTGTTATGTTAAACCATATATAACGGAAACACCATTTAACATACACACTAGCGATTGTATTGACTTTGTTCACTGTTAAGGTAGTAATGAGACATGGGGAGGTGCTAGAAGTCCAGTGAAAGGGAGTGATCTGAGTAAAGAACTGCGACTCTTTGTGGAAAGTGATAGGCTATATAAATTACATGACCTGCCATGAATGTTACTGATAATGAAATGACATGTCACCATTGTGTGTTTTTGCGTTTGTTTTAGGGTCACTGTAGTGCGAAACGCTATGTATGGCAACTTTCTCCGTAAATCAACAAAGAAACTACAAGATGATCTACGTCAGACTATGCGCGTCTACTCTAGTGAAAAGCACGAACTTCTTCGCCAGCTTGCTAGTCTACGACACGAAATGGATGAACTGAAAGCTTCTGATACAAGCTCTTCCCCAACCTCATCCTTCAGTGACTCCTCTTCCCTCAAAAGTACACCACGCTTCTTTCATGCCCCAAACCTAGCCGCAAACAAAGCCGGAAAGAAAGGAAGAAAACGGAAAAGTTCTATAACAAGTGACGACAGTATGGGAAGTCAAAACCAGAAACTTAAAGAAGGAATTTTACGTCTGCCTACCATCAAAGATGCCTCACCAGCTCCTCAGGAATGGGAGTCTGGTAACTCCATGCATACCAACCTACCTCCAATAGAACAGCCCAAGGGACTAGCCACAGCTAAGGCCTTGCTGGACAACACCTTTCCTATACCTAAAATATCAGATCCTAGTCGCGAGGACATCAGCGTTTCTAGTATCCGGCAGTCAAATCGTGAAAAGAAAAAGGTGCATTTCTCTGAGGAAAACAAAGTCACAGAATTTGAGGTGATCAGATACAACGAAAGTGAGGCAAAAAACTGGCGAGGTGGTGGGGCAAACAGCCCCGCTGAATATTATCGTAAACCTCGCACTTCAAAAAAGGGAAAAGGTGAGAGGGGTGGGTCCAGAGTGACTCTTGCCCCTCTGAAACGGCCAAATGATCCGAAAGAAGCCCAAAAAGTGGCTGCAGAATACAAATCTCTGTATCTTTCTATTCATGATCCGGAGGAACGTACCAAAACCCTGGCAGACATTTTGTATGCTGTTCGCATGCGAATGCAAGAAAATGAACAGAACTTGAAGTTTGGTGAAACACCTCGTCCTGCAAAGACAAACAACACATTGTGTGATTTCCTACTCAGCAGCAGTTGCGAGGACCCTCTCCTGAAGGGAGAGCCAAACAAGGTGAGGCTTAAAATTAAATTTAAATCTAAGTAAAACTTTAAAATATATTAGATAATCTTAAATATCGCATGTATCATTGTTTAAATATATCTAAAGAAACCACACTTAACTCAAACCTGACCCTTTTAAATAAATACATTTCATTGAAATATAATGCCACTAATATTTAATTCAATGTTTTAAAAATATGTCCAGCTTTTACTTCATTGGGGAAAAAATTGATGTTGTTATGTGAAATTTGAAATTTCTTTCTTGAATTTTTTTTATTAAAAAGGTACGAGGAGATTTTAATAATTTTAAGGAAAGAAAATAATAACCTTCAGAAGATTTGAAATCTCTGTTAAATGATTAATTAACATATACTATTTTTTAAATCTTATTAATATCCCATGTATGATTTGTCTTTTTCTTTACTTTAATTACTTTGATTTAATAATTACAGAACAAAATTTAAATACAGATCTTTTCAAACTCACAACAACTGAAATGTTTTCAAAATATTTCATGTTGATCTTGTCGATTTATTATCTACTCCCTAGAAATTAATGAAGACCTTGTTTTAAATAACAATTTTAATATGTGTTTAATTTTAATCTTTAAAATCCTACCAAAATACTATAATGCGCTTATTTTGTTTAAATCTTTATTCATACATAGGCTTGAGCAGAGTAAGCTGCGAATTCTAAAATACCAAAAGGTTCATTTACCAATTGAAGTAGTCAAAGTTCTAGAAATAGATATTCAATTTCAAATGTAAAGTAGCTACAATTTAAGTACTTTTTTTTTATAACATCAATAACCCCTGAGCTGATTACGTACCAGCCATTTAATAATGACCACGAACTTTCAGACGAATGCATTTGAAAGGTTTGTGTATTACTGATAATGTCCTGTGCAGACTTAGACGTAATTTAGGGTAGTAGGTTGCCACACTTCGGAAGGCGACAGATTACAGTTGGCTTAGAAAACAAGACGATCTGATAAGAGAAGTATCACCTGTATTAACAACTGCCACTTGACACACTATTCAAAGTTTAAAAAGACTTCTAAATTCATCCAAAGACAACTTAAATGTCAACAATAATTTCTTTCTTTTCATAATGACAAAATACCTAGTTCTATTAAATCCAAAAGCTGATATGAAAAGTCTAGTCACTGCAGTTGTTAACATGGGCGTGTCAATTTGCAAGACCATACAGATTGTATCGACAAGACCCCCCCACCCCCTCCCTCCAATCTAAAAAACAAAACAAAAAAACACCCCTTAAAAATGTTATATCAGTATATCAGAAATAAATTTGTAACAGATATTTGTTTGACTGCCAATAAAAAGTGTGCTGCAAGGTTAACAAAACAAGGTAAAATACAAAATGAGAAATCAAACAAGTTATATATTATAACCCTATAACAATTTCTCCAGGTAAAATACAAAAATAGTCTCCAGATCAATGCCACATATATATCAAAGAAATTTGTATCCCGTAACAAAAGAAATTGTTTGAATTAATAGATTGAAATAACTTAATGAACTGTAATTGACAACTAGAGGTCTGTAACTAATATTCTTCAGACTGTTGATAGATACACACAAGGACAATTTACCAATAAATATAATGATCGTTCATATTTGCTCGGTGGGGCTTGATCACCCTTTATACAGGATATGTGATAAAGAGATACTGTCGTTCCCGTTGACATGTGAAGTCTGTTATATCGTGAGAATGCCAGTTAAGTTCATCACGTACTCAGGTTGATTCCAAGTCCTACCTGGACTCCCCATGTCAGTGCAAATCTTTTAACATTTCTTTGATAAACTTTTCTAGATTATCTGTTACCAAAAGTCTTATAACCTGTCAAATCAATGATGGCTTGATTTACCAAACTGAAATATGATATCTCTTGAGCAAACATATTATCATTTATCAATTGTAAGACATTAATATTAAATGATGTATACATATAAATGTTATTGAATCCTAGTTTTACTTTTGCAATACAGTGTTATTAGACTACATAAAGCTATTACAAATAATACCAGACTCCTAGATCATGAAATGACTGAAGTCTGAAGTCTTAGCCAATTAGGGATAACATCAGGAACAGAAATTTCAGGTGTGATTTAGCCATGCAAAATTTTAAGTTTAACAATATTTCACGATTCCCGGAGCAGGACTTTAATATTCTATACAATATTTTACAATATATCATATGAATATATATTTTTAAGCTTTAAACCACAAGTCAACAGTATCAATGTTTTGATGATACACAAGAATAAAACTGTGACTTTATTATTTACAACAGAAAAATAATAACAAAAAATATATATTTCACAGGTTGGGAACAAATTCCTGGGAGCCCCAAACCATACTGCTGCGAGAATTGGCCGCAGATCTCATGCCACACAACTACAGAACTATTTACGCAAAATGTCCAAATCTCGTAGGATGATAGAGCATATGGAGGCCGAGCAGTACCGTCTAGCGCACATCATTGGCCATAAACAGTTGATGGCTGCCTCTCAAGCTTCACAGGCATAGAGAACAAATTATATATATAGAACCATTGTGGCTGATTCTTACAAACCTCCATGTTGGAAAAGTACACAAAATTAATCAAACATGAAAATAGAAGATGTTTCTCTCTGCAACATAGCCTGGAGAGTACGCTGATGTTACAAATGGTTTCCCTCCATGAAGGTCCATTAGGGTATAGGCTCTCACATCCATAGAAAGAATGTGGTTTTCAAAATTACTATATAACTATATACAAAAAGCTAGACTTTCAATGGATATGTCTTCTTTTTTTATTTTCGCATTGGAGAAGAATATCAAGGGCACTTAATCGTACATATCTGGCAGAAAAGACAAGTGAATATAACTTAAATTTCTTCGGCTGAAATACAAAGTGAGAAGTATGCTAGCTATGAGTGGACAGAGATGACCATATATGGAGATATATATTTTATCATTCATCATCTTGATTGCCTGGGTTTTATTTATTTACTGAATCAAATCAAATATGATTTGTTTTGAAAAATTGTGTTGTACTGTGACAATTTTATTCGGAATGGTATCGCTATAGTTAATGTGACTTAAAGACAATTCAATTTTTGCAGGCTATTAATCTGTGTTTCAAGATCCACAGGATTTTAACATTGTTAATTACAAGAAAACTCAACACAAACTTGTTGTGTCAAAACTCAAGTGTTTTATTATACTAGTTCCCTTCAATTTCAAGTCACCAAATATTGATGCTGATATAAGTGCTCTGAACTTGATGACCTCACGCTGTGCTATCATTTGTTTACTGAACATGTTTGACCACAACAAAAGAGAGGAAGTAACATACCTACATTAAAATGTTCTGATTCTTTGAATTGTTCATGGCACTTACTGCCACTCAAAACGTTTATGATCAAGTACTGGAGATGTGCCTTCTTGATATCTGTGTGCTTTACATTCACTTTGTTTTGGTCAACACACTCTGAACTTTTCACACAATGTCGTTCCCTATGATTGGTCAACTCTTTAGACTCGGGATTTGGACATTTTCACAGCTTACTGTTAACAACGAGAAAATCAGATCCATTTTGTGCTTGGCATGTTACTTATATCATGATAAAATTATTCATGTACTTGTGAATGTAACAAATATTTATTTTTCTATCATAAAACTGGATGTCACATACACGTAAATTTTCATATACACCAGCCATTCTGTACATTTAATGCATTAAAAGACAACTGTTTAATTGTGACCATGACAACTGTTTTGTTATTGTGATAAATGCTCTACTTTGTCAATGACAATTGTATTTATAAATTTATTACATCTGTTTACGTGTGACCATGACAACTATCTCACTCGATTATGGTCATTTTAATTTATAGTATGTACATGCCCATATCTTCTGTATCCATGGAAACTGTTCATCTGTAAACTGTCTGTCCTTGACACTTGTTCTAACAAGTCCACAAAAACTGTTTTATTATTGCAAAATGCTGAAATTCACCAATAAAAAGTATTTAAAAAGTGAAGTTTCCTTCTGTTCATTTTCAGATGACAAGATTTTTAAACATAGTAACCCTTCTACTTGCTTTTCAATCAAACCTTAATTAGTTGCTCTATTGCTTTTACCAGGTAAACAGTTTCATATTTCAAATAATTTTTTAACTCCAAATAACATAATATCTCTTTCAACTGCATAAAAAGTTGATTTTTTAAACACTAAACCAGAGCTATGAATCAAGTTATAATTTCAATTTCAACCCAATGACATTTGTTTACATTATTTATAAATTTCTTTTACGACTATCGCCCATAAAATGTCGGTTTCACTCTATACAATAGTGACATTGATTTCCTTGTGGGTTTTATGACTTTCGCACTGTTTCAGACATCACCTACAACACCTGGCCCCACTTGTATAAAACATCTCAACTTGAGATTTCCTCAAGTCGAGATTTTCCTCAGCTGATATCTCCTCAAAAACGGCTTGTATAAAATTTTCTTAAGGAACAGGAGGAAGGCATCGGCAAGGATGTCCTGAAATTCCTTGAGGAATTTTCAAACAAGATATTTTCAAGGAGATATTAGCTGAGGAAAATCTGGGCTAGAGGAAATCTCAAGTTAAGATGTTTTATACAAGTGGGGCCAGTTCTATCATTACACCTAGATCCAACACACAACTAGCAAAATCAGGATTGTTACCCGTGGCTGTTCACTTATCCATAATACAGGCACAAAATCAAATAGTTATCTGTGGTTTTGACTTGAAACCTCCCTTTGTCAAGCGTATACACTAATGTGTGATTGTCACAAAAGAATCACATTGAAGAAATACAGATCCAGGTCCATCGAGGGGTAAATGAAATATGACACCCAAGACTTCTGACCAATACAGTCTTAAATATCACTTCTCCTCCAATTTCGTATTAGTTCTGTGTCATTAGATTTTAGGACTTGTACAATAAAACTTAATTTATTTCAATTTGACATGTTTGGATATTTCCACTGATATTTGCCATATTAGAGCTAAAAATTAACTTTAAAAAGAGTTAAGTTTCCTTGGATCTGAAGTTTTAATTTATTGATAGTTGCAAATGATATCTGTATGACTGCACAATATCTTTACAATGCTTTCATAGTTACATTTTTCCTTTTCTTTCTCCATGTTTTAAATATAGTAAAAATTATGTTGTTAAAGAAATGTGGGAAGGAGGTATTTGACAGATTTTGATAATTCAATTACAAAGTCACTATGGTAACTCAATATCTAATTATAATAAAATCACTATATATCAAATATCTCTGTTCTTCCTTTTATATTAGTTATCAATTTCAAAACCACAAAATTAACATATTGTAAACAAAGACATCGACATTTGACCAGAGGTTTCATTCCTTTAGTAAAACAATTTAAAATTGAGACAAAGTAGGAAATATCCCCCAAAGGTTGTCATCCATGTAACCTAAACACTGTACCAAAAGTGGACACAAGTCATTTTCATTTCAGTAATAATTACCATAACTTTAGTATGCAAATATGGTACCATATTTGCATGCTAAAGTTATGGTAAGTACCGATATTACCTCATGAAAATTGGTTTTACATTAAAAAACCTCAAATTTAATCTGAAATTTCTGTTATCACATCAGTATTGAAAACACATTTCCACCTTCTCTGCACCATCCTAGAAAACCGTACCGCCCTGCCAATTAGTATTTGTCAGTTCAATGTGTAACAAAGATGAATCAAATCTGGAGTGATCAATAAATCTGAGTAAATATGATGATAAGTAAACAAGACGTGAGAGCTTTAGAATTCTAACTACATCAATATTAAGTCATCATATCTTCACTGTAGCAATAGAGAAGAGCTGTCCTTATATGATCATAGCACAACTGTATGACTATAGCAAAAACTGAATTAGATTTAATAAAATTACCGTGGTAATTAAACTTGAGGTGGAAGCAGGGAAAATCCACACATCTGCGCATGGCAAAACCTAGCCAATATTACTAACGCAGGTTCTAGCCAAGACGACAACAATAGCAGATTTCAGGTTTTATAAGCTTATTAAATTTTCAATGTTATTGATTGAGCAGTACTTTTATTTATATTCTGAATCAGAGGTCGATCAGGGAAAGATATATGATCTTGAAGGACTAAGTTAAAATGACAAACCCACATATCAAACTGTCATCTAACAATTAAAGTAAACATGCTTTTTATTTGAAAATGTTCAAACATTCCACTTGGATTTATTCAGGTAAGATATACACTTATGGTGAAATGTAAGCAATGACCTTGATAAATACAGAAAAACAAGAGTAGGTCTGAGACAGGGGGTCAGGACCTCAGTAACTGGCTGAAAACTTGTAAAGAAATGAGCAACTCATTAAGCTTACAGGACACGTCATACTCTTGGCAAATTCATTTCAAATGTAATTCTAAATCTTGTGTAAATTATGAAAGAACTGTTCAAATAAAAGATTTGATTTCTGTCGTTTTTGAAGTGTCCATAGCGTTCTATTTGATCTTCCAATGTAAAAAGTCTTCCTTCAGTTCAAATAAAATATACAGATCACCTTTTTACACAACTTCTAATTTTTTTTCAAAAGTTTAATTTACTAACCCTCACTTTTTTCTTTAAAGAATTATCAATATGCCAAAAAATTATATTTATTAAACCATGTTTAAGAATAACCACAGATTACACAATTTTTTTTTTTCAATCAAACAAATATCTGATTGTCAATAGATATACCAAAATAAGTGGAAGGGGGGGGGGTTGATCCTAACAAAATGGACTCCTTCTAACACTGCTATAAAACATATAAGACTACAAACATGCATTTAATAATTATCATTGTGTAAATGAAGGCTGAAGGATTAATTAGTGATTTGAGTTTGAATTTGATCATAAAACACATCAAATATTTGAAGTCTGATGTGAGATGAATTTTCAGAGTTACATCTGGTTTTATTGTATGTGTAGACTCCTAGCCAGCTTTTCTTTTCAGTAACTACCTTATATAGCGCGTACTACAAATAAACCCGCTTCTTACAGATGTTCAATCACAGGTATCCCCAGTGAAATTTGTTTTAAAGATCATAATAATGAGTCATTTCAAATTCCAGCAAAGGAAATCATTAACAAAGAACCAAACAACTTTTCTGATCAGTTCCATCCTTTTATAAACAAACCCCTGTTTAACAACATTCTGATTCTGTACAATCAGGGTCACAGTATGATCACCTTAATAAAATTTCTTTAGGGTCCGCCAAGGACAACATATGTGGGTTTGAACTAATTAGACAAAATCTCTCTCAACACATCAATCAAAAGTAACTGCTAGTTCCAAACACCTGCAGGACCATCTTTATACATCTGTAACACAAGAGGAAGGATAATTCAGCCCCAAGGGAGGGCCATTTTTGTCTGTTGACTGCCAGGCAAAGGGATGGGATGAAATTATCTAACCATTTACTCCCACACTTCAACCACGCATTGCTCAGGGAAAAATAATACTGATTCTGTTTATCAGGATATCTACAGTTGACTCGTCATTAGATAGATATACAACAGCCCTTTTTTCAAGGAAAAGACTTCTCTGAAGCTACAAAAAACAACATTGATAATCGCAAATACTGAAGTCCTCTATGTTTGATGTTTACACATCTTTGAAGCGGACTCCTGTATTCCACTAGGAATCCATCCTAGGACTACTGCTGGTATTACTGAATCTACCAGACCGGACCTTGGATCTCGTTTTCTTTATAACATTGATAATTGTTTACTTTTTACTGTTATTGCTAAAAAACAGAAAACAGTTATCTAACCAACACATAAGTAGCAATATATCAACCTTGGTGTTAGTTTTGTGTATCTTGATAAGCCCAGCCATAAGTTATTGCAGTTTTACCAGAATGTCAACAAATACCTTGTCATTGTTCTATAAGTCACCTCATATCTATTGCAGTTCAGTAAATTTGCCAACATATCCTTCACACCATGGTCCATCATAATACCCTATTTATTGTAAGTTGGGATGATTATGCTGTAAATATTTGGTATTTGACAAAAGACTAATGCAACAAAGATACTATGCTTATTTGGCAATATGCCCTGATCTGATAATAAGCCCACCCTTTTATATATTAAAGCAATATTATCAACCAATGCAACTACATTGTAGAGTAATAAGCCCAGTCTTGGCTTTGAGTATAAAGTGATGTGAGTGATGGACTCCTAGGAATATTGTAGGACAATAGATCAGGTAGTATATAAACTTTACTTATAAAAAAAGACAAGCCCAGCGTTACAGGTGTAAGTGTACTTTTTACGTAGTGGAAGAAAATAACTAAGTGACTATATATGAATCATCACCAAATTAATCACAGACAACACAGGAATGAACACAGACACAGCAATACAGGTAGTTCAGGGCTGCGTATGTATAGTGTAAATATGAAATACAGGTACGTGTTACTCACAGAGAGCTGGAGCGGGACAGCACCACAGGGTTGTTTTTCCTCCGTAAGATTGGGGAGGGGTCAGGGCTAGGTCGTGTGTACTCTTTCCGTCGAAACACCGGTGACGGCCCAGGGTCTGACCTCCTACAGGGGTGGAGCAAATATTCTCAAATTAGACTATATTACAATCACTGATATATATAATCGCCAGTGTGGGGGGTTGTAACAGCTCAAAGTAGAAACAACAGTCATAACTTTACAATCACCTCCACGGTAACAAATAGGTAGGTTATCTCCTGTAGCTCCACAGAACACTAGATTTTACATTACTTTTTGCAATGTTAAGAAGGAAGGTGAAAAGCAGACCTACTGAAACAAGTAGTCCGATTTCAGACATAATGACGTACTTAAATCATCTCCCTTGGAGAGAATTATAAATCTGTCACCTCCATGTCATGCAGGATTGATATAATCGTAACCACAAGTTAAAATTTTAAGCCTAGTGCTCATGTTCGAAAAATCAATTATATTATCCTGAGGAGTGAGATTTCTCTGTCTTAATATCGCAGTGGGGATTAATTTCTTTTCTTCAGCATGTTGTGATCATTATGACTTTTCTGATCTTAATATTGTGAGCTGTTATAACCAGAGTTCTCTGTCTCTATCACAAAGATGCGATAGATTATTTTCCTCCAACATTTTCTGATCATGTAACACCATGAATTGTTTAAATGAATAGAACACATTGTATCCCTAGGGAAAGCATTCCTCCAACATTTTCTGATCATGTAACACCATGAATTGTTTAAATGAATAGAACACATTGTATCCCCAGGGAAAGCATTCCTCCAACATTTTCTGATCATTTAACACCATGAATTGTTTAAATGAATAGAACATATTGCATCCCTAGGGAAAGAGAGCTAGATTTACCCATATATATAAAAACTGGGGATACACTTGGTAAAGTGTGGGAAATAAACAAAAGAACAGAGAATAAAACCAAATTGATGTTTACCGTGGTACACTGGAGGAGCTGACTTTGATTGGCAGTTGTCTGGGCGGAGGCATCAGACTTTGACTTTCTGCCCCATTGAAGACTTCAGGCGGCAGTTTGCCAGCATGGTCATTCATGGCCAGTCGCTCCTCTTCTGGGGTCTCCGGCAGGGTGTGGAGGGGCAGTTTTACGTCCAATGTCTGGGCGTCTGCATACAGCAGTTCGTCCGGCGTGGCCGTCCGTCTGCGGGCCTATAATATCAAATAACATTTCACATTTCCACTCAAACAATAGTATATATAGTAAAACTATGCTTACAATCCAACCTCTACGTATTTACTAAGCTCACTTTCTAGACAAAAATATCATAAAAGTTTCTTCTTACTGTCTGAACGAAAAGGAATTGATTTATTTTGTGTTAAAAATCAGTTTATCAATTATAAAAGGTTATCATTTCAAGAAAAAAAACAAAAAAAACGAAAGAAAAAAAAATTGTCAAAATAAGATTATAAAGCACACATAGACTTGTTCAAGTCCCTTCACTAAAGATTCAGCAACAGTGAAATATAACTTTAATAACTGAAAATCTTTGTGTTATTAATACAAAATAGATTTTGACCAACAACCTAATAAACAAAACTAAGATATTATTATGCAAACTGTTCTTATCCGACGTAAAAATTTACAAAACTGCTGATAACATTTCCTGAAACTTCCAAAATATTGCCAGCTTTTTAACAACAAGAATCAAGAAACTTGAAAAGACAACATATCTCCAAATATTTGTAAAGTAAAACGCATCACAACATCGCTGGATTCAGAATTAATCAAATCACAGAAAATGAAAACACACTATTAAAACAGTTTTTGGGGGTACCATAAGCAGTAAAAATGATATTATATGTTATAACAGTACACTGAAAAGCTTACAAGTTGCACTAGAAAATACTAGTAATTGTGAGGTACTAAGCAGAGATGGACTTAAGTTCAAGTATAAAAACATACTTTCTTTGAGAAAATTCTAAATGACAGTAAATACTGAATTACATAACCAATATGAAACTATATACAAATTTTTAAATTTGTCACATATCATATACACATATATACCAGCTGGTAGATTAGGGTTTCTACACAATCTCAAGAGTTTAATTACTACTAAAACGAACAAAGCGAGTCATTTAGATAAAAATATTTCGTTCAGAAAAAAAATCATTGTTGGAAATAAATTCAAATCAAGTCCATTGTTGACATTTATAAAATCTGACAGTTTACAACTGAAATCTAATAAATAAATAAATATTCGTAAATAAGGTTTATGGTTATTTAATATAAATGTTACAGATCAAAAGGACAAATATACATAAGTATATATATATATATATTCAGCAGCAGCAGCATCCCCAACCTGTCATTGCCATGGTGACGGGTACATATGATATAGGTGACAACAATTAAAACATTGTTTTCAATCATTACGACATATTGATCAAGGCATACCAATGTATACTAGTGTATACTTCAAAAAATCAACTTTTTAGACTTCAGTTAAACTAACACTAAAGGAAGAAAACAGGCATTTTGAACGGGAACTACACTTCTTTTATATTAAAATAAAAATGTTATGATAATATCACTTCAAAAGCACGAAAAATTGAAAGAAAATTATCAAATTATTCAAAAGTTACGTTTGTTTTCACAGAAACACAAAATCATATTTATAGCATTATCAGTATTTCAAACTATGAAAAACAGTTTAATTCATCAAATCTTTTGAATTACTGAAACACTGAAATCAATATGTTCACGCCTGTCACATGAAAACAAGTGTTAGCCATATCCTCATATCAACAGGACACTTTTGGTACTTTACTTGAGCAGAGCGTGCGCTCTTGGTTCGAATCCTCAAGCGTTGACATGCATGCAGCTGAAAATTCAAAGTAAATCTTCCAATTTTTTTTTGCCCTCAATCTATACTCAACATGGACCATTTGACACTTCTCATTCAAAGGGAAATAACTCACTCATTCATATAAAAAAAAAAAACCAGAATATTTTATAAAAAAAAAATGTATTTGCTATTATTAACCACAAAATTTAAAGAGTTGTATACATATTTACTCATAAAATGGTCTCAATTTTGTTTGTAGACAAGTAAAATTTTCTCTTACTCAATTACAGTTCAAAATCTCCAAGTCAAAGGGAGATAATCCGATATGAGAAAGTATAAATTTCTTCTTTTTTTTTTTCAAATGTCTGACTTGTATCACACCATCTTCCTATGTAAGATTGATATATGGCATACTTTCTATAATGTACTTGTAGGCAGTTTATATAAAGTATACATTTTCAAAAATGCAAATATATAAATAAACAAGAATATAAACGGTGTGATAATTTGTAAGTAACATATAGATATGTGTCTCCTGTTAATTTCTAGGAAGGTGTTTTAAAAATGAATCATTGCTATTAAATAGGAATTTTTCATGTCAAGAGAAAATTAACAGAACTGGGTTTCTATAGAAATTGCTATATTTTGCAGAATTGTTATAGACAAGAAAATGTTAAATTGGAATGATGACAATGCTTGGTTATTCAGGCATTCAGAGCAGCTAAAAGGACAGTGAGAATTCCCTGTTCCTACATACTTAATCAAGATTCAAAATAATATTTTGGAAGATCAATTTCAACTCTGTTTTCTGTTTATTATAACTGAAGTTCAGTGAGACTGATCAATTTCCATAAAGGAATTTCAAAATAGATGTCAGTGTAAACATGGGTATTATTTCAATGAAATTTTGGAAAGTCGCTACCTCCAGTGTTTAATCAAATTCAGGGCATTGACTTGTAACCTATGTCTCACAAGACCTTCCGCATCAAAATTGATTTTTGTTTTTCAATGGATGAAAATCAAAGGTTTTCAAATTTCACATCACAATAGAAATTCCTGTTTGTGTTTCTTTGTTTTGATATTAAAATTTCCTATTTATGATAATTCTACCTCAGTATGGAAATTTCATCTTTATTATAAAAAGTACTAAGAGAGTATATAAGGAGGTTTGGGGACACATATCTACATCTCATATTAAAAAGTCTATAGCGTAGTGTTATTTACGTATGCTGTACTTACCGGTAAAGACCTACGAAACTCCTACAGAGTAAAGATTTCGAATACATTTCACCACCAGTGTTAATGGCACACAATATTGTTTACAGGGCTCCTTTTATACACACATATCATACAAGGGTAGGCAGAGGCTGGGTTAGACAAGGTAATATTTCACCACATCTTTTAACACAGGGTGGCAATACATTGAAGGCACTCTTTTAAATCCACAAGTTACAATACAGAGAGGCAATATATAGATGGCATCATTTTTTAACTCCACAATATACAGGGGCGATATACAGAAGGCACTTTTTTAAATTGAGAATACAGAGGGGCTATACCACAGGCACTTTTTTTTTTTAATACGAGGGCTACATAAATACTAAGTATCAATATACAGAAGGCCCTTACTTAAACACACGTTAAAATACAGAAAAGCAATATATAGAAGTGATAATATACAGGTCTGTGTGATGACAAATCCGAGTGTAGTAATAAGGTACAATTTCTCCGAGTCAATATACTATATTCTCTATATCAGAAACAACCTACATTTCTGTTGCTGAAAAAGTTAGAAATATTGAATCTTATTGATTGTATGTTTGATACGTCTGATCAATGTACAGTCTATATATCACAAGTGTTAACATTTCTTCTCCGTGATAAAAAACATGACCTGTACAATCCTATTAGGTCCAACATGGAGAGTTTCAAGAATGCCAGTTGAAAAACTACGAGGACATGAGAATACCCATTGCTGGAGCTGTGAAGAAAATTGATTAAATTTCCAGTCACAGAACTAAGTCAATGTTTCAAATATGTATATTCAGTAGATCAGGGAATAACAGCCGTGAAGAAGCAGATTTATACAAAGAACATCTGTTATCAACATAGAGACTGACAACATAAATAAACACACAACAAAAAATATCAACATCACAGACAACAAGAATAATACTCTCAACATGAAATTTTGTTTTCTTTTCTTCTGGGAGAGATTCTAAAGTGAAAGAGAAAGATCACAAAACTTTGAGACCTCCCAATCTCTGCTATACAGCCAATATATTAAGGGGGATAACTCCAGTGGAATATCTATACTTTTTTCAAATTTTTCACCATTAAGACATAGCCAGATAATTTGTATCATATAATTACATTTATGTGTTTTTTAACACATCTTTTCATCACTATTTATAAAAGTTGTGATATCTGGTTTCTGAATGACTTCTTGCAATTCTATCTCAGTGAGCTGTCCAACATTACTGTAACTTTCATTTTGACAACAGAAAAATGCATGAACAGTGAAAAAGCATGTCTATCATGCACTACATTTAACCATGCAGTGAATTTCAAATCTAACAAATAATTTCTCTTTAAAAAATTGGAATCAATTAATGAAATAATTACCATATCTATAAGCACTTTCATGCTTGCATTTGATCAAAAGTTAAAATTCTACGTCAACCTGTAATATCAGTGATACTGAGTCAACAGTTAGTCAATATAATTCTATATGTATATCACTTTTTATAAGTACACTAATACTGATATCAACACATGTCACTGAAGCTGTAAGGATCAATTTTCTATATATTAATTATTTCAAATTTTTTTTGTCTCTCTCTAGTTTCATAATTTTAAGAATCTCTCATGTATGAAACACTAGATATAAAATTCTTAAACAGTTTCTAAACAAAATCTTTTGCATAAAAAAAAATTTGAAAAGCAGGACACAGAACATTGAAAAACACAGGTGATTACAGACACTAACAGAGGACATACACACAAAAACATTTAACACTTAGAGGGTAAGGTAAATACCTGCTGCTCATACTCGTAATAAAGGGGCGGAGGTGGAAAAAACATCTTCATAAATGCTCTCTCCAATTTCTTTAAGTTCCTATAGAGAAGGGGTATACAAAACACTAACCAAGCTTGTGGTAGGTCATCATTTGTGTGACCTTGACACTTTCACAATGTGTTATAGTAAGTTTTCCTCAACAGAAGTGATTATACAATGTATACATCTGTATATGGCATTCAAATACATTTCATCATTTTCAAAAGTTATCTCATCTCTTGATAAACAAGAAGTGATCAGTTTAAAATATGAGTTTTTTTTTTTTTTAAATACAAGGTCATGCCAGATACATTTAAAATTTCGATGATTTTATCTAATCGTTACTACTCCAGGAAAACTACAACTACAGTAGGCCATGAGAAAGTGTCAAAGTCAGCAATATGCTTAACCTTTGACCTTTAAAACACCATGTTAAGGAGGTCAACTTTTAATTGTTACAGGACAGGGACAACAATGTATACATGTAAGAGAACATTTCATCCTTGCCTCTGGAAAGTGAAGTTTTAAGTTTTTGGTCATAGTAACAATAAAACGTCTAAATACCTTGTCTCGTTTGCCCAAATCACCAAGTGTCATCCCCGGGGGTAGTTGAGCAGGCTGGGGTGGAACCTGACTTTCAAACATGCTGTCCATCAAAAGCAATGGTTGGAGTCACAGCCAAAGATCCATCAATGAAAACACAGCACAACCACAAAAAGGTGCCAAACAGAACATAAAAAGGAAAACAAAAACAAACAAAAATCAAATAAAGCGAAGTCAAAAAGCTCATCATGCAAAATCATAAATTATAAATAAATTCAAAATGCAACAAACTTTCTAACATCAGTTGCAGAATTTCATTTTCACTTTTTTCCCCCTTTGTCAGAAGAAAAATGCATGAAAAAAGTTTGCAAAATCAATGTCAAAAATGTTCCTAACTACAAACTACAGTACTAAGAGCACTGGACAAGAACAGTTTCTCATCCAGTTAAAACTACTACAGTGTGTGTTCAGCTGAAAAAAAAATTCAGGAGAAAAATTTTGATTTTCAACATTAACGAAAAAACAGCAAAGAGTCCGTTTCATATAACAGATTGTGTAAACTCTATGTATAAAGATTTTTCTGAAATTCTATGCCTTTTATCAGAAACAAAAAATAACTATACATAGTGCAGAGTATAATTTGAGACACCTGTTATATAATAAGTACTCTTTAATATAAATTTACTAACACCATTTAAAGCTGACAAATAAAACCAGACTGTCACCAACATTGGAAGTTGAAAACTGAAAGATTAGAATGTAATGGTGCCTACCTTTTCCCCACAAGAACTTGATTTGTCAGACAAGAAATATAACAGTCAGTGAACACTGTTTTACAATGTGAATAAACAGAAAGTATCGTATCTTACAAGACGTTAAATGAAATACAAATATACTTTACAATTGCTAAAAACTTCCATTACTATCAACTCATACGCCTATAGTAAAGTTAAAAAATACTAGAAAGTAAATCTTTATACATCAAATATAGTTGTTTGTTCGGGAATAGTAATTCTGTGTGTGTAAAATTTGGTCTTTGTCAAGTGACACAAATATTGTCCCTCTTTTTTTCATAATGTGAAGAATGAAGAAGACTTATTAATGAAACTCTGTATGGCTATTGTGATTAGAGACTCCTGAAATGAAGGAGGTTTTCAACGTCATTGGGGCAAATATGCAAACAAAGCATGGTGGCAGATATAAGTCTACAGATTGGTGATGTTTCAACAACCTCAACATTATCATGATATTTTCTTGATATGTTTCCAACTTTAGCATAAACAGTTTTATATATGGAGATTTGAACCACTGATCCATCATTCTTGAAGAATTATGCAAAAAACCATTCAAGTGACAAATATTGGACCAAGTGTCTCTTTCAGTATATTTTATGTCAATGAGACTTCATTGTCTGACTACAATGAGGTACCATTTTCATCATGAGAATATTTGTAGAAGTTGAAAGATTTGAGTTGTCTCCTGTCAGACATGTTTCCCAATGCTACACGGAGTTATCTGCCCCCTTGATCTGTGATATATATTGATGAAAGATAATTATTTTAACTCCAGCACACAAAATTTAATGAAGGGGAATAACTCCTTGACAATGGTTATAACACCTATTGACAGCAGACAAAAGTTTGGTAAATCTGAATTTGATGATGGTTTTCATATTGGACTGAAGTTTGGTAAATTGCTAATGCATTGTACATCTCTTTCTCACGATCTGGCTTTATTTCGAAGCACAACGCATTTACAGTCACAACACAGAGCAGTTCACATGTACTAGTAAAGAGCTAGAAAACAAAAGTCAACAGATTCTCCGTTATCCAGACATCTACATAAAACTTCAAAATACAAAGTTGCAACTACAAAAAATATATAGGATTGGTATATTATTACTAACACTACAAGCAGCTCTTCAAACATAGCCACTTATGATTTAAAACAACACTGAAAGGAAATCAATGTAAAGTCAACAATATTACAAAAATAAACACAAAACAAAAACAAAAACATATAAATATTGTACAATATATAGTGGGTAAATACGGTTTGAAATAATAACACAGACGTACCCACTATTATGTACTTTCAGACCCAGAAGAGCTCCAACAGTATGAAACACACGAGCACTGCCGCAGCAAAGCAACAAAAGTCACTAGTACATGTGGAACTGTACGAAGGAGAGACAAAGGAGGAGTGGAAACACAAACCCAGCCATTATTTACGAGTTGGTTGTGGCCAATGTTGGTAGACACGCAGCGATAAGTAGAAAACAAGAAAAAAACGGGTTATCATTGGTTAATATAATACCATGGCATTCCTTTTCATTACTATTGGCCCTTCACTTCATATTAGTAAATTGTCTATTTTCTAATTAAACTGTTTTCTCAATTTCTGATTTTTAAAAGTTAGTTTGATAACAAAACAAAAATAACTAACTAAATAAAAAAATCACAATCTGAGAAGAGGAAATCAAGCACAATTTAAAACACTGTTTTTTTCATTTTTCACTTTTTATATTAACTAAATCAATCTTGTAATCGAATTATCTCCTTTTTCATAAAGATATAATTCATTCTTTCTAATAAATTCTTGTGTGATGATAATGTATATCACCTATCTTGTAAATAACTAAATTTTCCAAAACTGTCACCACAATCAAACATTTTGAACTAATCAACACACAAGTGTAACTTATTCTGGTCTGACACAGCTGATATTTCTGAAATCCTCTCACCAGATCAACGAGGCGCTAAGTAGTTAGAACAGTGACTTTTGTTAGTTTGCCTTCCAATCAGTACAATAGCAAAGCAGTGCTTGGACCCTTTGTAAAGCAGAATCTATATAACCATTTTTCTTTTTTATTTTTTATTTATTTTTTTTTTAAATTCAAAATCGTCACATGGTTTTGCTCAAAGTGGATTTTTTGCTACAAATGACCTCTCATTCAAAACTAAAGATAAGAAATCTCCTGGGTTTTTTCTAACTTTTATTCAAAATTATTGTAATGTACTATATAGTTTCTTCCAACAACATATCTGCCTTATGAAAAACCTTTTTCGGAGTATTCTTGAAAGATAAACACCAAAAGCATCATATTCTAGATATCAGCCAGTATATATTTATTTTTGTAATAGCTTGATATGAAATAAAAGCAAAAAATAAACAGATAGTGATATAAACAGGACTATATATATAAAGATTTATAACGAAACAAGTCTTAAGAGTCCAAGAACTGCATTAGGGGAGGAGTTATGCAAATCAAACTGAAAAACTATCATGAAACAAACATAGGCAATCAAAGGGACATTCGTTAATAAAAGCGGAGATTGTATTGACAAACTTTTGCAAACATTCCGTAAGATCACACATCCGGACCGTTCAAAAGTTGAGAATCGTCCATGGACTAAACTGATGAACTAACATCCTCCGAAAACAATTGAAGTAAGATTTTGATGAAATATGGAAATTATGAATTAAAATGAATTTATGTTTCTACACCAAAGACGAAGTGCCCAAGAAAAAAATTGTTTACAGGAATTTTCAGAAAATACAAGAGCTGTACATTTGCTATATCTAGTTCTGTTTTATCCAACTGCAGTCTATGTAACACCCCAAAAATAAGGATCAGTTTTCAGTTCCAAAGTAAAAATTAAGCAGTAAAATGTAATAGCGCCTACACATATCTCTGTGTCAATGTGAAATATTTACACAAGTCTGTGTATTGTGTGATCTAAGCTGTGTGACTCCAATGTGAACCTTCAACACATCTGTGTGGGACAATATGAAAGTAAGTAAAGAATTGCCATCAAAACATGAACCTAGACAAGTTCTAGGCATTTTTCATTTCTTATAAGTACTACTGAAATTTTTCAGGGGAAGAATAAAAGAATCAGATGATGTTTTGGTCAAAAGAGACAAGATATCTATTGTGGCACTAGCCCATTTTTACACAAATTTTTTCGTCAGTGTTGTGATATTGTATTAAATATCCTACCATACATATAAGACAAATGAATTCTGAATATCACTTTGACTAATTTAAAAAAAAGTCTCGTTAAAATCATTATCAATTAAACAAACATGTAATTAGTATGCAGATGACCACAGTAATCACTACTTCTCCAGTTATTTACACGGACGATACAAATAGCATCCCAAAAAAATCAGGCTTTTTAAACAGTACACTAACAGGTTCAGCCGTGTACATTCCACAATCATTAATATTTTGGTTCATGGATTTGGAAGGCAAATAACCACACCTGGAATGAGCTCTGTCATTTTTTTATTTTTTGTCAAGGTCCCGACTTGTAAGTTTACATAAATCGGGATTTTTCAATCTTATTCAGCAATAAATGAAGAGATGTTTTGGTCAGAATCTTCTATGACACAAATGAAACTTTACAAATCAATGATGTACTTTAACAGAACTCCTTCCTGTATAATTTGTTAGTTATAACAGTAGCAGCACTATTAAATGAATCCCCAAATGTCATTAAAACACAAACACACCACTTCAGAATCCTCTCTCATTTCTTGTCCGTTTCAACAAAATCAGAATTCTGTTACAACATTCTACCTGTTACCTAGTGCAAACTTTGATAAAAATATTAAAAATAAGAATTAGATACAGAAATTTATCATGTCTAAAAATAACATTTTTTTTTTCTCTCCAAACATCAATATTTCTTTCTCCCTTGAATCATGTTGATATTCCACTTGAAGACCTGAAGTGATGTGAGAGTAGTTTGTATTTTCTAGTCTACAGGACAGCTCTAAAGACCCAGGATGAGGCTGGGAATACTTCTTACCTTTCTGCTGGTGATGAGGAAGCTGAACTTGTCGAGGTATCCATATCTGTAAATTTCAAATCATAATTTTTTTTTTATATTTTATCATGGATACAGATAAAATTGTTGTAAGCTAAATATTTTTGTGAGGAAAAAGTTTTGTTCCTTTACTTCAAAGGAAATTTAAGATACTAATTTATGTACAAGACACTGTATCTATATAACAATGTTTTACATAGTAGTCTCTTGCTCAATGGGTGCTTAAATGTTGAAGTTGCTTTCTAGTACAATGAGATATTCAGGCCAATACCTGGGTTTTTTTTAAATAGAAAATGATTTAGAGCAAGGATTTTTTACCAGAAAATGTAAGATTAATATCATTTTAGAGCATTTTTCCTTAAACTTCCAACCTAAAAATCTGATTATTGAGTTAACCCTATTTATGATAAAATTGGTTTATAAATTCTCTAAAATCGATGTAAGTAATTGTTTCTGATATATAAACTGCTGTTCGTCCCTTCCTGATTTAACGTACCATCGATACCATTGGTCATTAGGTTGTCCACTTCAATGTCCACTCGATCGTTAATCATGTGTTTGAGTAGGTCCTGTTGTAGAGTGTTGTTGAGTTCTGTCTGGTGGAGTTGAGCCTGAAGCTCTCGCACTTCATGTTCCTTCTGGGCTAGCAACAATCCCTACAGGAATAGTAAAACTTCAACATATAATGTAGCCTTGGAGTTAGTAACATTACTTTGAAAAAATGTTTCTTAACCACAAATGGTTACAGAATACTGAATTTGCGAGCTTTGGTAAATGTCTGTTTCCTTTATCAAGGAAAAGTGCAAATGATGAGGTGTTGATGACAGTTGAATATTCTATTGATGAACGAAAGTGTAAAACCAGCTGTCAAATTGTCAGGACTCATTTTCATCCCGATAATACTGCAGGCAGTTGAAAGGACATTTGATGTTCCATCCATTACACCCCTTATTGGATGTTAAATTGCAATGTTGTCACAAAGACAACACAGCTTTACAAAGATGGATTTTCATCTACATAATTCTGTATTTATTGTAACAAAACTATAATGTTTGGTGACGTTTGATTTCATTTAGTACATTACTTTTAAGTAATGCATCACTTCTAATTTTATCAATGATTGAGTGTCCCGTTATCATGGCTTACTCTGCTGATGGACATCTGCATAAAGTGGTCAAGGAGATAACGACCTTCCTCCAGGTTAGCTGTGGTCATTATGGCTGTAATATCTAAGCTCTCTCCTTCCTCCTATAATAATACAGAATAAAGACTGTCACATATACATCTGTCAGTTAACATAAAAAATCATCCATCTACAGTTTAATTTGTGGAGTTTCTAGCCATACATCCCTCATACAACACCAATAATCATCCAACTACAGTTTAATTTGTGGAGTTTCTAGCCACACATCCCTCATACAACACCAATAATCATCCATCTACAGTTTAATTTGTGGAGTTTCTAGCCACACATCCCTCATACAACACCAATAATCATCCATCTACAGTTTAATTTGTGGAGTTTCTAGCCACACATCCCTCATACAACACCAATAATCATCCATCTACAGTTTAATTTGTGGAGTTTCTAGCCACACATCCCTCATACAACACCAATAATCATCCAACTACAGTTTACCGTAAAAACCCACGTAATGTCCGCATCTGTGTAATGTCCGCACCCCTTTTTTGACAAAAAATCTGGGGAAAAAACCCACCTTCCATGTAATGTCCGCGGGTAAAAAATGCAAATTGAAGCTGCCGGTTTCATTTCACGTACGCTAATGTCGTAATGGCCGAGAGCATGTCGCATTGTGTATAACTTACAGGTACCATTCAAGAATTCACTTAATTGTTTATAACAACAGTTATTCTCCATAATGGTACAGTAAGCTTAACAGTATGACAAGTCCTCATTTCGATAATTGGTGTTTTGATAAGGGTTAGCCCAGCAGTGTTATAAACAGCTTGGGTCGTCTCCTCACCTCGAGTGTGAGTGAGTGACACGTGTGATTAGCCAATTAACGATAACTATACAGTAACATGACCCGCCCATGACCCACGGCGCCACTGACCCTACTGACACACCATCAGACGACGAGAACGCCATTTATTACAACGACCAATTTGAGGAAGACACACTTCAACGCCGAGGAGTTCTTCCACAGTGACGACGACGACTTCTGGGGTTTCGAGAACACGCTATTAAACCGGCCTGCTATGTATTAAGACTTTCTGATAAACGATCCATAATCAATAAAACGTCTGATTATTTATTTTATGTAATATTCTTGTACATGTCATTTATTATTTTGTAAATAAAATGTAGAATGAAAATGTTGTGTTATTTTGTATATGCTCATGAGTATGCTTTTTCAATGGGGGAAGGGGAATAACTCTAACTTTATTCATGTGACAAAGTCAAACAAAATGGCTTCCTATTACGAAGGACGACACAATACGAACCTGTAACGAGAAATTGGAAGGAATTAACCATGGAAACTATAATAAATAATCATAAATAATCATGTTTGGTTGAGCAAACATCATAGAAAAAACCATAGAACGATAATATCAGGTATGCTTGGCTTTTAAGAACACAATTCAAGGAGATATGATAAGAATTGTCGGAAGGAAAAAAGTGTCATTTCCTCTATATCTCTGTAATGTCCGCACCCCCTTTTTTGGATTGATTTTCGGTGAAAAAAAGTGCGGACATTACATGGGTTTTTACGGTAATTTGTCGTTTTTTCTAAGACAAAAGATCCAGATCTTCTATGTATCAAATCTGCTGCTTCTTACATGGATAACAACAGCCTACTAAATCTAAACAGCTGAAATCATTCCCCGATGACAGTCATGTGACCCCATACTTCCCAGATGACCAACAACAGACATGTGGCCCTATCCTTCTCTGACAACAGATGACAGACATGTTACTCCATCCTTCCCTGATGACAGACATATGACCCCATCCCACCCAGATGACAGACATGTGACCCCACCCCACCCAGATGACAGACATGTGACCCCATCCTTCCCAGATGAAAGACATGTGACCCTCATCCTGTCCTGATAAAAGATGTCAGATAAGTGACTCATCCTTTCCAGATGACAGCCATGTGACCCCATCATTACCAGATGACAGACATGTGACCCCATCCTTACCAGATGACAGACATGTGACCCCATCATTACCAGATGTCAGACATGTGACTCATCCTTCCCAGACATCAGACATGTGACTCATCCTTCCCAGACATCACACATGTGACTCATCCTTCCCAGATGACAGACATGTGACCCCATCCCGTGACCCCATCCTTCCCAGATGACAGACATGTGACCCCATCCTTCCCAGATGACAGACATGTGACCCCATCCTTCCCAGATGACAGACATGTGACCCCATCCTTCCCAGTTACAGACATGTGACCCCACCCTTCCCAGATGACAGACATGTGACCCAATCCTTCCCAGACGTCAGACATGTGACCCAATCCTTCCCAGATGACAGACATGTGACCCAATCCTTCCCAGATGACAGACATGTGACTCCATCCTTCCCAGATGACAGACATGTGACCCAATCCTTCCCAGACGTCAGACATGTGATCCCATCCTTCCCAGACGTCAGACATGTGACCCCATCCTTCCCAGACGTCAGACATGTGGCCCCATTCTTCCCAGATGACAGACATATCCCACCCGCAGAACTTACCTTAGCCTCCTCCATCTGCATGATATTAGTCTGACACTCAGTGATGTTCTCCTGTGCCTGCTGTACTTGTAGGTTCAGTGTTTCTACAGTATCACTCAGAGCTTTTACATCTGATGGATCCTACCAAATCAAACGTCATACACAAGGTCATACAAAGGTCATACAAAGGTCACAAGCAAGTTTTCTTTCATGGTGATTTACAATATCGTTTTTTCTGTAAATATATTGTTGGAGTATTTGACCTGAATGAAATTCAAAGGTGAAGTCTTGCCAATTCCTTTCTGATAAAGAAACATCATTCAATTTTTTAACTGAGAGGAAGCTTGTTTCATCAAACACTTACCCGACTGTTGGCTATAGCAGCATCTCGTCTCTTTGTATATTTTTCCATCTTTTTACAGATTTTTTCTCTGTACTAAAATGAAAAGATGGAAAATTTTAGAGTAACATTCTTTTTACTTCAGATGTAAAATATATCATTTTAATTAGACACTACTTTGAATATAAAATCATTGGGGTGCAATTTTCGGTAACAAATCATTAACTAATGGGTGAAATTAATTCTTAATCTTCTATTCTCAATCGGTAAAGTTCTAACGTAAGTTACTCAAGCCAATGTTATAATGGTAACCTTCACATAAGACTGGATCAACTAAGATCTTCTGTAGATATTGCTGTAACTGTACGTGTGTAAAGAGTATGAATCATAAAATGAGAAACTGCCTCGTCTGTGTCCTTAGGCTGAAAGCATTACCTTTAGTGCTGTGAATGACAAGTGACTTGCATTTTGTATGAGGTAGTGATCAGCTTCTACAAGGAGACCCCTCTTAAAATGACCCCAACTGTTGACATCAATAAACCCAGTGAACAAACATATACAGAGTTACCTACCTTTAACCAAACATCCATGTCTCTTTCCATGTACGCTATGGTTTGTTTTTTGTTTATCACAGATCCTATCTGTAAAATATAAATAAAACTGGTGATTTAATTTTCTAAAACAAATAATCAAGGCATCGCAAGTTATACACATCTTGTAATTTAACAATTAGAACTGTGCCATTAAGATGGCAGAAAATGGTCAATTCAATGAAATTTGATCAGATTTTTTAACAAATGATGCTGCTAGAAGAAATTTCTGAAAATAGTGGCTGTGACCTTTATCCTATGACCTTAAGATTTGAACTTGTTTGGAGATATCATCATCCCTTATAAGGTCGTCACGTTCGATAAGAATCCTTCAGAATAAACTGCTTGAGCAAAGGAACATCCTTTTATCCTAGACATGAGGGGATGATAACAAAACATGAAGGAACTTTGGTGCAAAATTTTCAGAATATGATCTTCAGTTCTCACAAATGCTTTTTAATTTTTCACACTATTGAGGACTATTTTTAGACAAAGACAACAGAAATGGAAACATCCTGCTGAATGATAGAAATCCAGCAGAAAATTAACAATTATTGCATGAAAAATTAAAGATTCGATACATCTTTTATTTCCTTATAAAAAAATTAAATCTATTCAAGACACACATATTTGCTTACATTTTTTTCAAAGGCATCCCACTTCTGTTTTGCAGCTTTAGCCGAGAAGTCTCCTCGTCTTCGTCTCCTAGTTGATGACGGACCTGCAACATCAAATACATAAAATATTTAGGATCTTTAATTTATGATGTGAGTCGAAGCGATAAAGACTAACTGTCAAAAGACAGGCACAAAACAGAGGACTTAAATTATTATCAAAAATCACTTAGTTTTATCATACTCACCTATGGGTATAGTTACTGGATACTCACTTATGGGTATAGTTACTGGATACTCACCTATGGGTATAGTTACTGGATACTCACCTATGGGTATAGTTACTGGATACTCACCTATGGGTATAGTTACTGGATACTCACCTGTGTGTATAGTTACTGGATACTCACCTATGGGTATAGTTACTGGATACTCAGCTATGGGTATAATTACTGGATACTCACCTATGGGTATAGTTACTGGATACTCACCTATGGGTATGGTTACTGAATACTCACCTATGGGTATAGTTACTGGATACTCACCTATGGGTATATAGTTACTGGATACTCACCTATGGGTATAGTTACTGGATACTCACCTAAGGGTATAGTTACTGGATACTCACCTATGGGTATAGTTACTGGATACTCACCTATGGGTATAGTTACTGGATACTCACCTATGGGTATGGTTACTGAATACTCACCTATGGGTATAGTTACTGGATACTCACCTATGGGTATAGTTACTGGATACTCACCTATGGGTATAGTTACTGGATACTCACCTATGGGTATAGTTACTGGATACTCACCTATGGGTATAGTTACTGGATACTCACCTATGGGTATAGTTACTGGATACTCACCTATGGGTATAGTTACTGGATACTCACCTGTGTGTATAGTTACTGGATACTCACCTATGGGTATAGTTACTGGATACTCACCTATGGGTATAGTTACTGGCCTTTCGTATTTTCCAACACGACCTGCTGTTTTAGATGACATATTTGGCATATTTTTCTTCCTTAGAGACTCAACCTGGAAACAGTAGAAAATAATAGATAAAATGTAGGCATTACTCTCTCAGCTCAATACAAGTGATTAGTCAGATTTCACCATAAAATTGTTACAGCAAAAATGGAAAGTGTACTGTCATAATAAGTGAAATTAACCCCAAGCTATGTACCTTGCAAACATCATAACCATATTTTGTATGCTGCAAAACCACAAAATTTGTCTAATATAATTTTTCTAAATTGATAGAAATTCTTAATTCCTCAATGTTTTTATCACTGTTACAATTACATCTCTGTTTACTTATTTATTATCCAATATTACAAGCCAGTAATCTATACGATAGTAGCTATTGGCAATAAAACAGCTAACACTATCAACAAGCATTTATATATCAACATTAAAGTTCTTATGTTTGAAATGAAAATGAATATGTTTCAAAAGTGAGGAAAACTGTTGTTTGTTAAACAAACAATAATAACAATACAGTATTTATTTAGTAACGTCAGTTATGTACACTAAATAAACAAACAAACAATAACAATCATATAACTGCTAAAAAAGGAAACAAATCAACACCACATGTTCTACAGACCATCAAGAGATATCATTCTAGGTTTGGATGAGATAAAAATGTGCCAAGGTTAATTTCATGAAAATTTTCCTATCTTGCAGCAGGGATTTCACAAAGTCATAAACGTACTTTGGATTTGACGATAACTTCACAATTATGATATCCATGCAAGCTTTTAAGATTTTTCTAATCACTAAATACACTGTATAGTATTAATAAGTTCAAATTTATTCATGTATAAATAATATGATCAAATCTCCTATTTTACCTGAAAAACCATCAAAATCTTCATATATTTGTATGTAATTATTCCATAAGGTAAATTTGTTTAAACATTTTGCAATGTGATGGGCCAGGAACTTTTTTTTCTTTTAATTTCACTAACAGATGATATATGATGAGCAGGAAAATTCTCAACTAATAACGAAAAAAAAAAAAAAATAATAATAAAAAAAAAAAAACCCCACTCCAACATCCACACTGTTATGACAAGGTGCCTACAGATCAACATGGTGCCAAACATAAGTATATATAGTTCAATTGGACAATAACATATAATTATACCTGGTAATATAACCGGGTCACCATGGTAGATAATGTTTAATAAAAGTTTACATCTGTAAATAATACTTCTCTTCATGTTTATATAATTATTTGTATATTATATGTGTTGTATTCATTTTGTACCATTTTGAATCACTCTTGAGTCATGTCTCTCCTGAGTTGTTTAGAAAGCTAGCTTACAAGCTTAAGGTCAGATTATTTAGCTTTTGGTTTGAGTAAGTAGCCCCCGATGTACCAAAGTATTAGATGATTAGCAAGGTTTTTCTTTATGTTCCATGCATATGCTTTCTTTTATGTGTAATAAACAGGTAAACTATTAATTTGTGTTAGTTGTATGTAAATTATCTAGATACAGCCTCAGATTTTCACATAAAGTTTGATACTGTGGAACAATTTTGAAAGAAAAGCAAACAAACTTAAAGTATGTAAATAAAATATATAAATTCTAGAAATAATTTGAAATCTCCTAAATGTGTTAAGTGTTAATAATGAGATCACTGATATTCCTTGCAAATGTATACAACGCAGGGTTGATTAGCATAACGAAATTCCATAATAATTACATATAAAAAGTATGATAATTCCACTCCCTATAATGACCTTTATTACATACAGACGTCTTGGTGTGTACACACAGTATGATAATTCCACTCCCTATAATGACCTCTATTACATACAGACGTCTTGGTGTGTACACACAGTATGATAATTCCACTCCCTATAATGACCTATATTACATACAGACATTGGTGTGTACACACAGTATGATAATTCCACTCCCTCTAATGACCTATATTACATACAGACGTCTTGGTGTGTACACAAAGTTTTAAGAACGTCACACTGCAGACTTACCTCTTGAAGCTACAAATTTTAGAATACCAAACCAAACAATTAAAATCTCCATATATGACCTTCCAACTGCGATTCCTTTCAAAAAGTTTTATGTGAATGTGTCTTAACATGGTAATTGTCCTAATATAAGCCCATGTTGTCAACACATTCTATCCAACTTACAGTCCGAGGATGGGCTTGTTATTAGGCATGGGCTTATTACTGGATAATTAAGGTTATACGCAAACAAGTTGTACCAATTAAAACCAAACCAAAAGTAACAGATTTAGGCTAAAAAACAAGCAAACCTTTAGATTAATTTATAAAATCCATAACCAACAAAATAAACACAGACATAGCATTAAATCATCTACATTAGTCTACAAACCACACCAAATTCAACATAAAAATTTCGAAGTTTCTGAATTCATTCTTATCATCTTTTGCAGCTTTGATGATTTTTCAAAACTTTTAAAGCAAGTTTCTGCTCATTTCATTTATTTCTAATTTAATGTATTTTTTTAAAACCCTTTTTGTCCATTACAAACCCAAAACAAATATATGTGTATATATAAATGGGTTACCTCCTCTTGTTTCCTCTTTAGTACAACCTCCCGATGTTTGTTCGTTTTCTCTAGAGTTCGAATAATGTTCTCCTTTTTAAGCTGTTCCTTCCGCAACTGTGTCACTTCTTTGTTCCTTCGCAGTTCAGATTGTCGAGACTTCCCAGCTTCTTCCTTCACTTGCTTCATCAGACGTACCTACACAGGGGAAACAACATTAGGTAAGGGCAGACAACTCAATACTTTGATATATGAGAAACATTTCAAAATAGTAAATTTCTTGTTTAAGTTACGATAACCACAAACTTTTTGCTCCAATAAAATTCATGATTTTATAGTACATATGAACTCAGCTAGCAACTCTATTAAATGCACACCTTAGTCTTTTTCATTTCTCCAAGTTCATGTTGGAGTGTTTTTAATTGTTTTTCGTAATGTGACTGGTTTTTGACAAGTTTGGCGTGGTCTTTTTTGGCTGCTTGCATCTTCTTCAGGTCTGTCTGGAGTACAGAGAGCTTTTTCTCAAACTCCATCTTGACTTTCTTCACTTGATCTTGGTTGCTTGTCGAAACTTGATCTACAAGATAAGATAACTCTGTCAACAACAGGTGTAAAATCATCATCTATAGAACCAAATGAAAATCGTTTCAAATTCAATCATTCTAATCACATACAAAATAGTAGATTTGGTTATAACTGATAATGGACGTGGCTGACCAGCCTACAACTAGGTATAGGACTAGATTGACCATTCTACATTTGCGGGTTTTGGTGGCCAATTCACCAGAAAAAGGACTCGGCTGACCACCCTACTTTTACTGGACTATGTGGTCAGTTCTGCAGGATCAGGACTTGGCTGACCACCCTACATGTACTGGAGTACGCGGCCAATTCATCAGACACAGGACTTGGCTGACCACCTTACATGTACTGGACTTCATGACCAAATCTACAGACACAGGACATGGTTGTCCCTTCTACAATGACTAGACTTCTACAGACACAGGACTTAACTGATAATATTCTACATCTTACAAGCAATGTTAACTCACTGATACTAGACAGGACTTTGTCACGCTCCTGTTCTGTAGCCTGAGTTTACTCACTGATATTAGACAGGACTTTATCACGCTCCTGTTCTGTAGCCTGAGTTTACTCACTGATACTAGACAGGACTTTGTCACGTTCCTGTTCTGTAGCCTGAGTTTACTCACTAATATTAGACAGGACTTTGTCGCGCTCCTGTTCTGTAGCCTTTATTTTGTTCTGTAACATTATCACTTTTTCCTCATACTGGGTTTTCATGGAATGTAGTCGACGCTGACTCTGTTCAAGCTCCTCAACAAGCTTCTGTTTGATCGAGATCTCACATGTCAATTCTGCTAAATCTTCGTGAATATTATCAGAGTCTGAAAAACAAAACAAAATTCTTAAATGTTTTCAATTTGTTCGACAAATTTGGTAGAGGATATGATCATTTTTAATTCAGCATTGATTATTGATTATCAGTTATTGATTTTACTACACAAAATACAAAGAATACTTAATACATGATATATAATATACATTATACATAATACATAAATGTATTTATAATAGATATATTCTTATATTTTCATCCATATTTTTTTCAACTTCCTCTAATCATATTTTCTGTATGGATGAATATTCACCCCTCTTAATTTCTCAGTTATGATATACTACTGAAAAAAATTGACTTACATCTTACAAGAAAAATCTTACTTTCGATCTCAAGATATTTTTTTTTCTTTTCAATACATGCATTCAAGCACTGCCTATTGTATAAAATAATCTACAAATGCCATACTGATAGCTTAATTCAAATGAGAAAAGGTTTGTCTGATTAAGTGGAAAATGATGAAAATAAATTCATACTCATTTTTAAAGTATCAAGTAAATTGAAATCCAAACCCAGAGAATCTTTTTTAAATTCATGCATGAAAGTAACCAGTGCATCCAAGACTTCTGATATTGTATCTATCTACATATATATCTGGGTTTGTTAACTAACTTGTGAATACATTATATTATTTTACAAAAAGTTTTGAATCAATGATAAATTACACATTTTTATTACCAGTAACTTGGTCATGAGTTAAACAAAAGAATGATTCAATGACTTGAATAATAAAAAGTTCATATCACAAAATCTTTTGACAGAACCAAAACTGTAAATATACCTGTATGCAGTCTTACATAATGATCAAATCTTTCAAATTTAATCATGGTCTTAATCAACTGACAAAAACAATAAAGACATAGTTGCTTATGAAAGATAGTGTAATCAAATTTTCCCCAGTGCGCCAACACCAGTTACAAATTATCAGGTGACCATGTCTATCCAGTGAGTTTTTTTACATCACAGAATATATTATTTTTCATCTTTTTTTTTTTTTAACTGCAATAAATATGGAGAAGCTTCTGCGATAACTGATAATTTTAAGCATTAAAATATCTGAAGCTCAAAATTAGCAACAAAACCATGACTGGTAATAACGATGATAAAATAATTAATTTACAATTAACAGCATAATCACTGGAAAGTTAGAAATCCCTTAAAATAGTGACGGGAATTCAGGTCAAGTTTTCTAATCAATAACTAAATGCATATAGATAATGATTCATCATTGGTTTCATGCATTAAATGAAAAATAGTTTGAGTGGCCAGTTTCTTGCATTTCTAAAAAGTTTCAGAATCTTTGAATTTCTGTTTATACCACTTATAATGTCCTTCAGTACTGCTAGTTGTTAAACCTCTGCATTTTGTATATCTTTGATCATTTCTGAACTCTACTGATTAACCATGGAACTCTGACGTCAATTAATTGGTTTCATTTCCTCTCTAAATTTCTGTTTCCCCATCGATTATTAACACATTATTATTGAAGAGTGTTTTATTTATATCTATATCCTATCAGAGTAATTGTACATCAATCCACCGTCAGAGTTAAAGTTTCCATTGATACAGATCATCCTCAATATTACCAGAACTTTCTCCGTCAGGAGGAAGGTCTTAAAATCAAAAAGGAACTAAATCTACCACAAAGTTTTACATTAGAAATGACAATAATATACAATAGTATGGACAATTTTACACAAAAGAAGACGATGTCATATGTTTGCTAGAAAAATTAAGGACATTACTTAAATTTGGACGGACAGTCTACTAAGTATCTAAATGATGATTGAAATGTGTATAATGAGTCGTAGGTAAAGAAAGTAATGAAAACAGAAGAATGTTTGCTAAGGTGAAAGATAAATTATCAACAACATCCAACTAAAAATCACATTTTTTAAAGTCAAAATCACAAAAATGAGACAACAGACAACCATGACTAGGAGGTATATGAGCGAGGAGTGACTCTGTACCTGCCCACTCTAACCAATAGTCCAGGAACAGTTGCACTAGACAAACAAGATACAACAGATTAATGTACAACAGGAGGGCTCTTATGCTCAAATTACACTGTCTCAATATCACACCAGTGTGAAATCATTTTTACACTGTCTCAATATTACATCAGTGTGAAATTATTTTTACATCGTCTCAATTACTATTATACTGTCTCAATATTACACCAGTGTGAAGTTAATATTATACTGTCTCAATATTACACCAGTGTGAAGTTACTATTATACTGTCCCAATATTACACCAGTGTGAAGTTACTATTATACTGTCCCAATATTACACCAGTGTGAAGTTACTATTATACTGTCTCAATATTACACCAGTGTGAAGTTACTATTATACTGTCAATATGTGTGAAGTTAATATTATACTAATATTATACTCTCTCAATATTACACCAGTGTGAAGTTACTATTATACTCTCTATTACACCATGTGATTACTAACCAGTGTGAAGTTACTATTATACTATCCCAATATTACACCAGTGTGAAGTTACTATTATACTCTCTCAATATTACACCAGTGTGAAGTTACTATTATACTGTCTCAATATTACACCAGTGTGAAGTTACTATTATACTCTCTCAATATTACACCAGTGTAAAGTTAATATTATACTGTCTCAATATTACACCAGTGTGAAGTTAATATTATACTGTCTCAATATTACACCAGTGTGAAGTTACTATTATACTGTCTCAATATTACACCAGTGTGAAGTTACTATTATACTGTCTCAATATTACACCAGTGTGAAGTTACTATTATACTGTCTCAATATTACACCAGTGTGAAGTTACTATTATACTGTCTCAATATTACACCAGTGTGAAGTTAATATTATACTGTCTTAATATTACACCAGTGTGAAATTACACACCAGTGTGAAGTTAATATTATACTACTGTGAAGTTAATATTATACTGTCTCAATATTACACCAGTGTGAAGTTACTATTATACTGTCCCAATATTACACCAGTGTGAAGTTACTATTATACTGTCCCAATATTACACCAGTGTGAAGTTAATATTATACTGTCTCAATATTACACCAGTGTGAAGTTACTATTATACTGTCTCAATATTACACCAGTGTGAAGTTAATATTATACTGTCTTAATATTACACCAGTGTGAAATCATTTTTACATCGTCTCAATATTACACCAGTGTGAAGTTAATATTATACTGTCTCAATATTACACCAGTGTGAAGTTAATATTATACTGTCTCAATATTACACCAGTGTGAAGTTTATATCATATCTCAATATTACACTACTGTGGAGTTAATATTACTGTCATGTTTTAATATTACACCAGATTAATATTACATTGGTGGAATGCTAATATTGTTACACTGTTAATATTGCTACACTGTTAATATTGTTACGCTGTTAATATTGTTACGCTGTTAATATTGTCACACTGTTAATATTGTCACACTGTTAATATGGTTACACTGTTAATATTGTTACACTGTTAATATTGTTACACTGTTAATATTGTTACACTGTTAATATTGTTACACTGTTAATATTGTGCCTTCTCATGCTATTATAACAATAGTCAATTGTTGATATTGTATCAGTCTCATGATTAAAATTGTACCAGTCCAATGTTAATGACACTCTCATCAAAATTTGTCTCGCTTAAGTGAACTCACTTGAGTCATTGAATTTCAAATTGGTCTTACAAGAATCAACAACACTAAATGGTCTATAGTCTTACCTATACAACACGACATTTTCATGACATTTAATTGTAAGAAACAGATATGAATGTCATCAATGTCATGCAGATCAAACTTCATGTGACATATACAGAGTTTAATAAAAAAACATGATAGATTTTTGTTTAGTTAAAATGTATTTTCACTTTCAGTTTATAGTAACTTTACACTGACACCTGTTAAACGTAGTGCTAATATACACTAAGTACCTTTATCCTCGTCCTCCGACTCATCTTCATCTTCTTCCTCTGATGAGTTGACAAGGTCCTCTAACTCCTCCTCCAGATCATCCTCTTCTAAAACCTGTAGGTCAACATACAAAGTCAGAATACACAAAATAACGGACTTTTCACTGCTTTGTGCAGAGACAGTGTAAACCAAGGACCAAATGAATTAGGGTATACCAGGAACAAAGAGAACACTCATTGATTTCTGAAATTTTCCTTTATGCAATTGGCTACAAATTCATCATTTCTAGCAAAACTCACCTGATTCTACGTTTTAAATTTTTTTCTACTTCACTTGCAAGAACCAAAGCCAGAATTATTAGAGTTTTTTGTGCTAATTCCTCAAAATGTGAATGGTATTGAATATACCTGGTATAGCTCTGAAGAAGCATTAAGATTACCAACATCAATTGGAGCCTGATATGAAAGCAATTTTAGCTTGATCCTCCAAACAAGAGGCCCACTGGGCTAGCAGCTCTGACCCAGTTTATATATACCACCAAACATCATGCCTCCAGGCCTTTTAGTTCATGAGAAGAAGTCATTTAAATAGTTCAACAAATTTGACCCCTGGGACCTTGAATATAAGACAATGTCATTTCTTTTCACAAATTTTGTCAGGCTTCATCCTCGAATTATACCAGCCAAAAGACCATGTACACCGCACCACAGCATCAGCTCACTTGGCACTTCAGACCAGATGAGCTAAAAGCTGATGAATGATTGAGACAAAGAGATGGTTACCTCTCCATTCTGCTCGCCTTCCTCTTCCTCACCCTCTTCCTTCTCTTTGTCATCTTTACTTCCCTCCTCCTCTACTTTAGACTCAGAATCATTCTGTTCCTTTTCATCTTCACTGATATTTTCCTTGTCACTGCTACATAACAGGGGAGACAATTCACAAATTAAGGGGAGGTAATCAATTCATTTTGCTACATCAAAATTTACTAAATGGAGAATTTGAAATGCATATAAAAATTTTCTTTAAACAAACCACATTATAGACATGAACAAACTGTTTAAGCAAACAACATAAACTAATAGACAATGAATACAATTGATTTTTTTTAATTTAACAGGGTTACAATTTAAAAAAAAAATATATATATATATATATTCCTGCTTACCTGTGGCTATGCCTTGTCTTCACTCTGCGGGTTTTGCGAAGCTGTTTGATGTCTTTTTTGGCTTCCTCTAGTATGGAGGTAATCATGTTATCAGGATCGGGAGTTTCCATATTTATACTGGTACTGAGGTTCATACTACTACTCAGCTGTTGCATTGGCGACATTGGCGTCATCGCCACTCGTGACGTCATCTGGCGCCGCTTTATCGTGTGTAACATAGCTTCGGACTCAGCTAGTTTACCTCTGTCGAAAGTACAAGATAAACAATTCAGTACAAGCAGGAACCAAGGCAGGAGTTTAATCAATGACAGACCAAACACACAAGTAATTCACTCCAAGTTTAGTTTTGTCAGAGATTTCACATCAAATATCCACAACAAACATTTTCAAATATTCACCTGATTTGAGTAAAGAAATAACATTAAAAATATGCAAATACCAGGTAACAAATACAGTTTTACCTAAGGATTTTTTAATTTTGTAAATTTATTAAGAATTTTTACAATAAAATCAGAATGCAGTGTAATATTTAGAGTTTGACGGACTGATGTCTCCGTGTAGTAGCCAGAAGAAGCTCTGGCTTACATCACAAGTGAAACACACATCTGATAAAAGAATTTGAAAGTGTTTGACACCTTAAGAAAGTATTTACCTTAACTCTTCTGTTTCTTTTAAATAACCTTCTATTAATTTCTGCACCTCTCCAGCTCTGGCATCCTCTGCAGGAAGAATCATTGGACAAACAGATATTAATTTGAAATCTTTAACTAACTTTGTATATCGAGATCTGACAAAATACAACAGTTATAAACAAAGACACAAAACTGACTGAATTCATTCAGGCTGACTGAATATCTCTGACAAGATCAATAGATCATTTTTTGCAGTTTAATCGAAAGTTTGGGCCAATATTGTTGTATTTTCTACAGAAGCCTTGAAACAGACTCAGATTTTCAAACTCAATAACATCCTGAGAAATGGCAAAAAATGGAACTCCTTCAAAGAAACGATAATGACAATATAATACTGCAACCTGCAATCAGTGCCTGGTCTTTTTTCCCTTACTTATACATCCCTACGTGAATCTTAGACTATACAATGAAAAATCATCTGGAAACGTTTGAAAGAGTGAGAAAGATAGGGGAGATAATTCTGCTTCTCAATCAATAAACTAGCACACAGTTCTCAGCTAGTATCATAAAAGTAGTTGTGAAGACAAAATTTGTAGCTTACTTCAATAGTCAAGTATTTTATCTGCTGTACTGAACATGAAATATTCTTTGCAATACAGACTTTTAATTTTCAGAGAAATTTTTTTACCGGAAAGTAATAAAGGGCCATAACTCTGACTTTTCTTGAACATTATCCAATTAAAGTATACAACATTAAGCACATTTTACAGGAATCTACATTTCAGTACTTAAGGAATCTTACAGATACTAACGTACAAAATACAGCAATTACATTGTACAAGACATACATTGATTAAGTGACAAACAGACTGATTATTAATGACTGAAAATCTGTACTCTCCTCTGTACCTGTCAGGGACCAATGAACTAGGGGATTGATCTGACAGGTAAATGAAACCTGTAAGTTCACCAAAACATCAAAGACCTTACCTGCAATATTGAGGATACCAAGGGTCTCCCTCTCCCTCAAGAGTTGAGTGTTTCTCTCTTTAAGTGTTTCATTAGCTTCATTCAAGGCTTTTATTCGTAGCATTAACTTCTCATTTTCGTGTTGTAACATGGTATTTTCGTGGAACATATCATTTACACTTTCCACACCATCAGCATCAACTGTTCGTTTACCCTGTAAAATATAACATCAAAAATACAAATTCCATAGATATAAATACATAAATGTTTATCAACACTTTTCAAGGCCTTCTTGATGTAACACAAGTGTTTTTAAATCACTGGATCAAATTCATGCAAATTAAATCCAACTAAGAAAATAGTTATGTATTTGTAAGACTAGACAATATCTGTAAACTCCTAAATTGTGCAACGTCCTTCATAATTAATAATGCATCCCTAAAGGCCCCAGATCCTTTAAATACCCTGTTGCCCTTGCTTTTTTTTATCCCCGAAAGGTTCATTTTGCTTCCTCAAAAACCTCAGGCCTATTGTATACCACTTTGTTATTCTATATCCTCCAAGGCTGCAACTCATTTTTTATTTTCCAATGTGGTGAAACCTCTGTGTCCACATTTCCTTCTACAAGTTTCCAACAAAGTTCAATAACTCTTTATTTCTTTCGGTAATTCTGACACTCAGTGTCACTCACCGTTTTATAATCCATGAGTTCCTGCTGTAGAAGGGTGATCTCAGAGCGTAGAGCAGCTAGCTGTTTACTAGCCTTGTCTTGGTTAGCTATCACTTTGTTCTTTATATTACGTGCCCTATTGGCATATTTAAGTGAATTAAGTGTCTCTATAAAGTCACGATCAGACGGAGATATACAAGCAATCATTAACGTCCGGCTGAAAAAGAGAAACAAAAAACATAATGTAGGTAAGATCTACTTAATCACAGAATGTTCTTTTATCTGAAATCTTTAATAATGTTTCTTGATTTCTTTATTTTCAAAAATTCAAATTTAATCCATTAGTACTGAAATTTTGATTGGTTGTTTTTCTTTTCTATCCCAATTTCAATTAAGTTTATTGATATAAACTATCAACTCCAATTAAACAGAATATCTGCTTTGTGATGTAACACTAAAATGAAACAAAACATCAAAATTGAGCATGAGACCTCCTATATTTACATCCAGAACCCCCACCCCCCATTACCCTCCCAAAAAAACAACTTTTTGACCATCTGGGAAATCCCAAAGAATTGGAATTAATTTGAAAATGAATTAATTTCTGCCCACAGAAACAATGAGTATAGTTGATCAGAGTGACCCATTTGTAGGTACAAACCTATTTCCACCTAAGGAATCCTGTAGTAATCGTGTTAGTTTAGAGTCCCTGTAAGGGACATGAGATCCTTTTTTAGTTTTATCTCCTAAAGCTGATATCACATTTCCAAGGGCAAGCTGCAAGAAGAACATGTAACATCAGTTTACAGAGAAATGTAACCACATACTAAGTAGTAGATCTCAGTAACATTAAGATTTGGATACAACTGTATTTCCACCTGTGATGACTATTACTTCCTTATATGTTTCCAGGTAAAAAGTAAAAAAAAAAAAAAAAACATAAATATTGTAATGATTATTAAGTATCAAGACATTACATATAATATCAGTGCCCTCATTCACAAAACAATCCATCGAAAAAATGTTTACAGAGAAAAGCAAAGAATGTAAACAAATTCTTCTACATCACCATGACTACCCAGGGTACACAATCAGTGTTTCAATTCTTGGTAATTTTGTGAATTTTTGTCAAAATCAGTTAAAAAAAAATGTTTATACAAGAGTTTGTTTTCTAATACTTGTGATTTAAACATTAAGTGAAGAGGCAAACACACTTTCAATGCATCTTCAGGAACAACAAATAATATTTCCTGTGATAACTTAGCCATAAGGCTGACGGTAATCCTCTCAAAATGTTATCATTATTTGCATCTAATCTGAAAAGCAGATAATGGCTTGCTGTAAACATTAATGTTTATTTATTTGTTTGTGATATAACCCTGGATCTTTATATGCATTTTATAGTTGTAGAACAATAGCCATATATAATATAAAAGAAACTTCATTAAATCTCAGAGACAACAAGCTTCATATATGACTGAAGTGTTTTCTGTGCAAATATAAGATCCTTTTAATAAATCTTTACATATTTACACTGACTGTAGATACACAAGATCTCTGGATTTTTTATGAAGAAGAGTTACTTCCCTTGACACAACAACAGCTTCCTAGGAAGCTACAGCTAGGACATTTTATCAAACACTATCAGGTAAAACAGTTTTAAAAGTGAACAGTAAGCATTCAAATCTTAAATCTTTAATGCAGATTTTTCATCTTTTTGAAATTTGAAATTGTCATCTTTCCATTTTGCAAATGTCTGATCCTGATCAAAGTTGCAAATTACAAAATTACAGCCAGATAATGGTTTAACAGTAAAACAATGTCAGTCCCAACAGGCCTATTCTGTACCAGCTGACATACCAAACCACAGTTGATTGAGATTCCTTCTTTGGCACGATCGCCTGTAGCTCCTGTCCTTTTCAGCCTCTCTGAACCTGCCAAGTCTACAAAATGGAACTTGGCTGTCAACGTCTCGAATTCATTCAGGTCTTGTGTGGAATCCACCTCTTTACCATCCTCATCCAGACACTTGGAATACAAAGCAGTTAATGTTACCATAAATTCAACTGCATATACAACTTAATTCCAAACATTAAAATATAAATTTTAATATTTTCTTCAAATATACTAAGAAAATAATAAAAAAATTTACCAGCGAAGAATGAAATTTGATTTTCAAGATATTGTGCAACACAAAAATATTCAGATATACTGTATTTCACAAGATTCTTCAGCAGGGAAATCTTTCTCGAAATGCTAACATAATTCAAATAACCTAGCATACAGCCTTAAGTGATTCACGATACTGTTTAATGTTCTACTGATAAAATATTGCAGTCAAACCCAACACACCTCATCCTTGACAACGCGGTGTTGTTTGATGGTGATGGTAAAAATGGCGTGTGACCTTGAGGACTGTGCATTCATATTTGTACTGGCAGTGGATCGAGATAAAGCGCCATTTTCTAAACATTGCATAGTCTGAAAAAAGTAGATAAATCAATAAAACTAGAATCAAACACACATTTGTCTATCAGCAGATATTTCTCAAAATAAGATGGAAAGAGGCATCATAGTAACTGCAGGGAAAAGCCTTAAAAATTGTTTGCAAAATTAATGTAATATATAATGAATTTTTAACCCAAATTACCATATGTGAATCATATTCAATTTCCACTTTTTTTTTTACCATTGATTTTATAAATTTACTGCTGATGATGATGAATATGCATCAAAATTATTAGAAAGCAGGCTTACATTAATTATTTGATCAACATTTCTAGCATTTTTTGATTAAGTTTTTTAATGAGGTTTTAAATCACTTACATCCTTGGGAGAAACAACAGGCCGTGTTGTAACACCTACGACGTAAATTCCTCCTGTAGCATCTTCATGGATCTTGATGTGGGATTTCTTCCCCTGGAATAAATCATTTATCATTTCTTTAAACTATACAACTATAGATAGATACTCAAGGCTGAGAAAATCTTACCAATACTTTTTAAAATCATTTTAACCAACAAGACACATGACTGTATGTGTCTGGTATCAATTTTATCAAAAAATGATAACTGAAGTCTATGTAACCAAGATGATATCTAGATCTAGTAAAATTGCTGATGATCATATTGTCTAACCCTCTGCTGACCCCATATGGTGACCTTTAATGACCACAATACTTACTCTAGACTCGGGATCCCGTGTGATGTCGAGGAGATCAAATATCTCTTCATTATAAAGCTGAAATAGAAAAGACAAATTATTAAACAAATATAGCAGGAGATGAAAAAAAAATCTACCAATGGAGAGGATGGATGAATGGGAAGTCCTTATACACTAACCTTTCACCAAGGGTTTGATTCCTGTAACAGATATGAAAAGGTAAGGGATCACCTGCCTGACCAATCAGGGTTTCCCTGGGTACTCTCCCAGTAAGACCCCTACACTTCAATCAGGGCTAACAATATCGTAAGTTGGATAACTTGTTTTGCAATTGTTATGAAATAAATGAAGTTACATATTTATATCACTGAAGAAGAAAGCAGCAGTTATTCTACTGCTTTAAGCATGTTTTTAAAAAAAAAAACCCATGTATGAAATTTATTTGTGTTGTTTGTTATTATTAAACCCAAGCCTGTTGGTTCTAGATTTATATTTAATGAACACTGATGTTCAATTAATAAAAATAAATTACGTTGAAGATAGAATGTTCAAATAATTAAAATATTAAGAATAATATTTCACTGAATATTACTGCCATAACCCTTTAATGAAAGTCGATAGCCTTGAAAAAATAAACAATGGTTTGTGTTGTTATTTGTTTAAGATACAGTTATGTAATTGTTAAAAACACTTGTACATACATACATAGACTCCAGTGTGATACAATTAGATAGTTATCTACGAGCAGCTTTAACGATATCAGTATAAAACGTAATTCTATTTATCTGTGTACAAGTATATTGCATTAACCTCCTAACAGAATCATTCATCCCTCTCTATCTATATCCCAGCAAGCAACAAATCTTTCTTTTTGATCTGTTTCATACATGTCATCACTCCTTTTATACCTCTAGTTGTAAAGGCCCTGGCCTAAAAGCCATGAAACTATTTTGTTTTTTGGCTATAAATAAAACCTTGAACAACAATACTTTTCTGTAGATTTGCTTTTGATCAGAACTTGATGCGTTTTCTTTCCTTTTTCTTTATTTTTTTATTCCACAAGATAAAAGTCTTACCATCTAAACACCATCTCTTTTCTCTTATTTTCATGAGATTTCTATTTAATAGTTTCATCTTCCAGTTAGAAAATCAAATTTTTTCATCATCTATGAACTTTCTTGGCTCTTAAAATCCATTTAGGAAAGACATCTATCGGAACAGAATTGCCACCGGGAGTACCATTATATAAACGATCACTTGTGTTCTACCCTCGGAAAATCAATAGCCATCCGACAGTTAACAGAAGTACAAAGTGTACAAACGTATAATATACATTTTCCTATGTAGACAAAATCTGATATACATGTAGTTTCCTATGATAATCATCCCAAACAACGTGCACATTTACATTGATTTAAAATGAGTTGAAACTCAAAAGCGGTTTGTTTATATTTTTGTCAACCATTGTGAAGAGAAGTATTTAGGTCATTTGGGAGAGTTATTTAAGTAGCTTTGTTGCAAGCTTGTGAAACTATCCATAGAAGTAGAAAAAGACTTTTTTTCATAAACAAAGATGTTTCTTTGATATTTGAAATGAATATCTTTAGTAGGAATTTCAAAAGAATATTTTGCACACCAGCACACAAATGTTGTAGTGAGGGAATGGACCACAAAATAAAAGCATTGTTACAGTTAAGTTCCAACATGATGACAAATTTGTAAATCATGACGATGTATACAGAAAATGTTTTGTCCCTGTTTAACTTTAGCCATTTTCATCCATGTACAGGGAGGGTGAATTTAATATGGGAGCAAAACATCTGTTACACTTATATAACACTCTCATGTTATCCTTACCGGTCCAAATGAACATGAAGTGAATTTTTGTATAATGGTAGATTTGGGCAAAAATTAACCTGTGGCGAAAATGTTCTGGTAAAGAGTAATACTAATTATATAGCAAAACAGACAAATTCATTAAGTCATGATAATATAAATTTCTCTTCAGAAAAAAAGTGCTGGGCTGCCGGAATAGAACCAAAATGTTCAAGAACTCTATTCAACAGACTGGATTCCAAATACTATTAACTTGATAAATTGAAGCACACAACATACACACCTCTATAAACTGGGCAGTGACTTTGAAGTCAGGCTGGGGTTCATTGCGTTCTTTGGCTTTTTGCTGACGTTCCTGTATTCCTCGAAAAAGATGACTGACCGCTCGAGGCACAATTCCCTCCTCCTCCTCGCTCTGATCAACATCAAAACCTGTCCCCATGGTGTACGTCTTCCCAGACCCAGTCTGTAAGTAAACAATTTTAGTGAATTTCATTTTGCTCAAGTAAAACAATATTGCACGGAAGTTTTTACAAGGAAAGCAAAAAACTTTAAACACCATTCAGCATCTTCCCTTCTAATATGTCAATGGCTTACTGATGACTTTTGCAAAAAATATATTAACAATCAAGAGCCAATAAAGCCAATAATATGCCACACTAATATTTAGTCAAACTTCACTGCCAATTATCATATTGTATATCCACTTAATGGCAACAGCAGCAGTCAACCTCTGTGTTTATGGTCATTCATCAGAGACATACATCATTAAAGTGTTATAAACAAACACTGCCTACATTAAGAATTAGCCAGATCTCCAACAGCCTGGTATATTATATTACATAGAGTCAACCACAGCAGCTAATGCGTTTTGAAATTTCATCTAATGCATGTTGAGATGATTTCAGTAAAAGGGCCTACAGATTTTTAGGTATGAGGCATGATCATAACACAGCATTCAACATAATTATGGTATGAACCCTATAGTCTGTGACATGAGCCTACAGTCAATGACATGCCACATGTTTAAACCTAAGAGATATTATGAATAAATGTAAGCCTATAGCCCAAGATGTGATCATGAGGCCCAGGCCAATACAGGCAACAGCCTATATAAGATATGACCTTCAGCCTACAGCTAATGGTCTGAGACCTGGCACAAACTACATACTAAGAGATGTAACATGATTGTCTTATGCCAACGTCAGGCTACATACAGCCTGTCAGATGAGACTATTTGCCTGTCAGCCAATAACACGTAAGACACGCAGCCTGTATACCCCCTTAAAAGCTATCATACATTACAGGTTTGATACAGCCAGCCTACGGCCCCTGAAGTGACATCACACATATATCAGTATGTCAGCTAATATGTATGTTAGACCCATGAGGACTATTGGTTTACCATTAGCTTATTCATAGCAAAAGCAAAAATTTTTCCATGTTTGTATAAACCAATGACTCATACAGGAGAAATAATTCCATATCCACAGCTTTTACTGAAAAAACCTGATCCCATCTCTCATAATCTTGATTAAGTAAACAAATAAATCAATACAAGTCTTTTTGAACAGACAAATAACCAAAAGATTGAATAATTAATACAAAATTTTGTAATTAAACTCAACTTCTAAACTCTTTAGCAAATACAGTAAAAATTTCACTCCTTTAAAAAACCTCCTGCCTTGTAAATAAAACTCAAAATGGTCTCTTTTCCTGTAAAACCAAGATACTGTGGAGTTCATGTATAATGAGTTACCAATACTCGTTATGTCCCTACGATGATACTTCAAATTTTACAGTATTACAAATTCAATTGTTGATGAAAGCAATCCTATTCTGATTAATTCTCTATCCACAATGACACATAAAATGAAACAATAGGGCCACTAAATATTATCACAGATTTAAAATAACAGAAACACATCCAGTTACAATAGCCATCTCTTATCATTATATCTTGACAAGCTCCCATTCAATCTAATATTAAGCTCATATGGCAGGTCTGCTACATGAAGGAAACCACAGCAACATAAAGCAAACACAGAGGCAAAAACCCAGGGGGGTAAAAAAAAAAATTTCTTAAGATTCAGAAATATTGACCGACCCAATTTTTTCTGCTTCTATAACTGAGAGATCAATTAATACCCCTGTTGAGAGAGTTTAGTTAAAACCTCCGAATCATCATTTTTTGACTACTCCAATGCCTGACAATATGGGCATGTAAACATTATTATCAATTTTTCCACTGGGGTTTACAAATGAGGACCTACAAATATAATGCCGGAGTTTGGTATTTTTGACACCATGATAGAATGAATATTATTGAGACTTTTAAGTTTTCCATAAAACCATATTTTTCAAATCGGGTCAAATTGACATGATGATGTTTCTTACATCTTGCACCTTGACAAAACCGACATTTCAGTTCAATCTGTTTCCTCTTTGCACCTCTCAGATGAGCCCATACTGTGCTGATTATAAATTAAAACCTTCTCAGCTGACATAATAATTATCCTCTTCCCTTTGGTTCAGGCCACAAATCAATAAATGACACAGAAATTCTCCTAAAACATCTAGAATTTGATTCTCCTCTATTCATTATTCATCTTTTTATCATAATTTTGCGATAAAAAATTCAACCTAGATTACAAAACGAGAGGACCCACAATCCACATACAACACACTACCCTCGGGAACATTTATCAGTACTCATACTTTTGGCTTCAACAGCTTGTACAATACAACTTTCATCACTTTGCACTGCAAGCATTTCTGTACTGACTCATAAATCTTTGAATGATATATCTCTTTTCATAGCATGAAATTACTTTCTTTGAATTAAGCTAATCACATCAGGAATTTATGCTCATATTTCCTTCAAGTTTGAAAAAAACAAAACAAAAAACTGACAAACCTTGATACCAAAATTATCTGTTTTATTGATTTTCTGTTTTTATCAGATAAGTAACTGATCTCGGGTTTTTATTCTAACAAAACGGACAGAGGGCGCCACTGGTATAACATCACACGTAACAGTACCAGTATATCAAATGTTCAAACTGGTGACTACATAACACCAACAAAAAATGTTTATGATCGATGGTGATGTAAAAACAAATAATGTGAATTAGCTGTCCCAACCGGTCTATAACTACATAAATTTAATTGCTTGCCATTGTTGCTGGATCTGAATAAGCAACACAAAGTACAGCTGCTACAACAAAACTGCTGATCATGATAATTCTGTATGGATGGCACCAGAGAGCCAAGAATCTGCTGTAGTCGGTACAGGCCAGCCGCATGTCAGCCATATAACAGTGGTCAATTACCATACTTTATAGAGTCAATGGAACACTATGAACAGCAGCCATATGCCACAGTGGCCAATATTTCCTGGCACTTCATCTCCAGTAAATGACCTCATTTATCGGTTGACCACTTGCTGGAATATTAGACTCGATACAGAGCTGAGCAGGGAAATAGGGTTAGAATCAATTACCTACAATGTAAAGAGGGCAGGATCTATTTATAGGAATATAAGCACTGATATGTAGAGAGTAGGTTTATAGGAATAATGAAATTTTAAGGTACATCTTTAAGATAAACACAATTTTTTTGAAAAAAAAAAAACAAATAAATAAAGAAAACAATTTAATCACATGGATTTGAAGAAACGTATTATAGCAATCTTAAGCAATGCTTACAATTTGTCAGCCCTACCTCCACATGAATGATAACGCCTAAAAGGATATATGTATGTTTTTTACAACCAGTTACATATAGTATACTGGGTATTAAGACTTGGGTCATGGTTGACTTCTTTCTGAAATCACAAGTTATGGTGGTGTGAAGTCAGATAAGATCTTTTTATCATCAATTTAGAAATGGTTTAATATCAGTAATATTGGTCTTTATATAAATTATCATTTAAATGGCATGAAAACATTTTACATTTGTCGACTAAGAGTCAGAACAACCTTCAGGGTTGAACAATTCCACACCAGTACAGTAGGAACAGTAGTGTTGTACATCAATATATCATTTGAACATTATTACATATTTCAAATGTAAAATTACATGAGTTAAGTACAATTCTGACAACATAAGTAAAGGAAGCCGTTTGTTCATTGTGTATGTAATTCTGAATGAAATAATGTTCACTCTATTGTACTTGAAATTAAACATTATTTTCAATCTTTACGTCAATAATAATACATCTATATAATCACTCAAAAACTAATGTCTTGTGCTTAAATATATATTCAAACATAAAAGTTGAATTCTCGGTGTTAGGTGAAATATATTAGATTAACTTAAAACAACACATCAAATTAAGCATTTCAGGAAATGTATTTTATTACAACTTTTAAACCCAAACTAAACAGTATTGTTTAAGAATAATATAAACTACATAATGATTTCCCGTTCAATTATGACGTCACATAATCACTTTTGTTATTAAGTCACAGACATATCTAGGTCATTTATCAAGCATCATGAAGATTCAGGAATCAAAGCGCGAATTCTTAAATTGATGTGTTGTTTTAAGTTATTCTAATACATATGTATCTATAGAGACTATGATACACTACCGATAATGAACAAACTGATGGGTAAAATCACTTTGCTGCATAGAACAAATTCAACTTTTTTATTTTTCATTCTGAAACTCATAACCATTGAAAAACAAAAAGTAACATTAAGAATTCCACATGATGTGTAACTCTATCGATCCTGGTACCATTAAAGATGAAAACAATATCAACTAGCTGTCAGGATTATCAGTCAGTACTCTCCATAAACATGACATCTGTGTATAGTGATTGTGTTTATCTTCAGGAATGGTTCAGACTGGGATTTTATCAGACATTCCCGAATCATCTCATACATGGACAACTACCTACGTATGTTTTACATCATTCTTAGATAGAGTAAAGACAACAGTAATTATAACACGACAAAAGTAGGTTAGACGAGACTTATGTCAAGGAAGGGCCCCACATAAAAGTTATTGCACTGAAGGTTTCGCCAATGCTTAAATAATGTTTTTGAAATATTTGTCTTGTAGGTATAAAATACAAGATCTTCTACAATGTAATCCATACCTTTTATAATGTGACCAAATGTAAAGCTTTGAAATGTAGGTCAAAGGTCACAGTCAAGGTCATGTTACAAGGAACACCTGTGCCAAATATGAAAGTCTTACTTCTAACAATGCAGTGGTTGAGGGCAAGGTTAAAGTTGACAACTGACAAACAGCATAAAAACAATATGCTCCCAATCTTTCGATCTGGGGGGACATGAAAATTTAAACACTCAAAAGTTAATCATGGTTTTGGTTTATGGTAATGTTTAAATGAAATGGAAAATAAAGATCTGAATGAAATCACTAGAGACAACAGTAATGTTCCTTAATCGTCTTACGTACAGCAATAAACCTTATTCATTGTGGTGATCAGGAGG